TTCCTGTTTCCTGGTTATGGGTCAGAGGTCACTTGTCTGGGATTAACTGATACCAGGCACCTAAATAATCTGTCTGGTAATGCCATTGTCCTGATGCCTGAGAAGAGCCGGTTGCCACAATGTATTTTACATACTGACGTGTGAGTGTCTCTGGACCTCGGAGGCACCATGTCCTCACAGTAATTGAGAAAACAGGATGATGTTCTGAAAATGAGGACATCTCATGGTGTTCACAAGGGGAATGTCTAATTTTAGAGTTAGGGGTTAAGGTTAGTAGTTGAATGAATAGCAGGCCACTGTGAGTTTATGTGTGTGTCAGAGTGCTTTATAATACTTTCATTTATTGCATCATTGCAGAGCAAGTGCTACTGAGCCAGCTTGGTACATTATGCATTATATTTACTGATGCAGCTATAGGTTGTATAGATGCATGCTCACATATTCAAGCATATGAATATATATGCACAGCCTAAAGGTTGTTTCTACTTTAATCAGTTAGTAAAAAATGTGTGTCCTATTGGTGGTATTAGGCTGGATAATTGGTGATTATTGCGTTTTAAAAAGCGGGGCTGTCATTCAGTTTTTTAACAGTGTGCTAACAGATTTCGAAGCACTCGATCTCTTCTAATCGTCACTTGTTGGTCCAGACTTATCTTGCTCTGCGCTAGAGGCGTAGAAAGTCGTAGGCAGTTGTAATAATGAGCCTCAATGCCCATGAAGTCATCTGTTTTGCCAAAGCACCTGTTGTTACCACCCTCTATGGGATGAACGTCGCCATAGAAACGCCACACCCACTGCTGCTCTGGAGAGACTATGTCGAAGTGTGCTTTCACCACAGGTTTCACTGTCTCCCCTCCCAGCTAATGCTGCTTTCTTCCTCTCTTCTTTCCTGTCTTTTTCACTCCCTCTCTCTCACTCACACACACACACGCACACACGCCACACACACACACACACACACACACACACACACACACACACACACTGAATCTCCTCATGTGCACTCGTGTGACCCGCCCATACTTTCGCTCTTTGTGACACTCACACATTCACACAGACAGGACACTTGCGCCTGACTGCTTTAATCGCTGAATAGGGGAGTTTAGCAGCTAACAATAGTAGTTATGAGCTGACCCATTATTCTCACACACACACGGAAAGAGGGACTTAACGCTGGAAGATAGGGTTCATAAAATATATTTTGAGTTTATTCAGTGTTGGTTTTCTTACATCAACAGCAATCTTTAGTTCGTTTAATCAATAATGCAAAATGAAAATGAAGGAATATTGTCTCTACTTTGCAATAAAAGCATTAGCAAAAGCCAAAAGAACGAAGAAAAATGGCAGTAAGACATAGCCCTCCATACATGATCATTATATCAGTGCTTAGTGGTGAAGGACATGCTATTACAGTTGAACGAGGCAGAACCTTGAGTATCATCACTCTTTGTAAAGTGATGAATATTACTTATAGTGGCATAGAGCTAAATAGAGCATCCTGGTGTTGTCGAGGAGTAAAACCCACTGGTTTTACTGTTATATAAATGTGCAGTTGACAGTAGCAATTATGAGCTGACAGTAATGATACGGTAACAAAAGTAATGACATAGTATTGGTCATTTAAACATACCTTATGAGTTGACCATTCATTTGCTAAGCTGAAACCGAAGCCAGCAAAGATATGCCAGGGTGAAAACTGTCAGAGTGCATGTGTTCTTTGAGGGGCAGCGAGGTGTTGATATCAGGTGTAGCTGGGAGTAGAAAAGGCAGACAGAGAAGAAGATGAGGGGATGAATGGATAGACAGGCAGGCAGGCAGGCAGACAGACAGACAGACACACAAACATACACAGGGATTATCCTTTGTGTAATCCTCAGTTTGAGGGTCATAGTGCAGGGGACAGGCATGTTCTGAATTTTCACACCAGCAAGTCCGATGTGTGTGAATGTGTGCATGCATGTGTGTATCTATGTGTGATTAACAACACAAACTAGTGTGCTTATCAGTGATCCTGTGAGTGTGTTTTTTTCATATATTTTAGAATCCGTTTATGTGGTTGTGCATCTGTGTGTGCGTATCTGTGGCTTCGCTGTATCTGTGTGTGTATGCATGTGTCATAGAGTGACAGATGGGGCAGATCGTACAAGAGAACAGCACAGATTAGGATCCTACACTCTGTGCGGTGTATGTGTGTGGTTATTTCAAAACCAAAACTGGGGCTCAGTAACTGTCAGCTGTTGGGCTGTGGTGGGATAGAAAAGCTGTTGCATCAGTGTTCAGCAGTTTGGGATGTCCCATTGTAATCTGCTGGATTGGATTTTTAATTCATTAGTGTCTGCTGAATGATGGCCAATCGATTTCCAATGCTCAGTGTATTTGAACCCATTATACTCGGTGTGCACCAGCTGTCAGAAACAACATTGATAGCTCAATTGAAACAGTGTCCTAACAGACAACAATTGATCAAGTGACACAAACAAACAGCCTTTAATTATATTTACACTGATAGCAAGCAGTGTGGCTTACGGGATAAAATTGAGTCTGTGGCGAGCACAACTCAGAATATTTTCCTGTTTTAAGCCGTAGTGCCGTGGCTTTAGGTATGGCAGAGTTGGTCAGTCTGTTGGCATTAAATGTTATAAACATTCTGGCATGTTCAACCCTACTGACTTTGGTAATCTCCAACTTTTCATCTAGCACCTCTAGCAGACCAACAGTTATTCATGAATTTTCTCAATCTACTGGATGGACTGGCATAAACTTGTGTACAAACATTCATGGTTTCTTGGAACCGTTTGTGTGTTTTTAGTGAAATGTCACAACAACTATTGGATAGCTTGTCATCACGTTTGGTACACAGATTCATGTCCCACTCATGATGAACTTTAATAACGTTGGTGTTAAGTGGTAGTTAGCAAATGTCAGCATGCCAACACGCTTAACTAAGATGGTAACAAGTGACGATGCCTAAGTATTATTTGTCACAGAGTTGGCATGGTTGTAGACTCTATAGAAACACCTTATACTTAATAAAACGCCATAGGTAACAAAGAATGTGTGTTGTATATTGTTGCATAATAAAGTGTGTAATTGTCTAAAATTGTTTAGCTTCTAGAAGAAATAAGAATCTGATCACATTTAGCTGCCAGATATTGTGATTTATTATTGGGACTGTGGGCATGTAATTTGAGCAGTACAGCCATATTCATTCAAATTAAAGCTGTGTGTGTGTGTGTGTGTGTGTGTGTGTGTGTGTGTGTGTGTGTGTGTGTGTGTGGGGTGGGGGGGTGTATGGGTGTATGAGGGTAGAAACCAGCTGGTTCTGACAGCTAATACACCGGTCCGCACTGCACGGCAACCATGTGCACACACACATGTGTGGATAAGATTTATAATGTTGTGATATAAAAACACCTGTTACTACTTCCACACACGGGCTGGTTAGCCTGGTTCCAGACCTCTGATTCACTGCCCATAACTCACATCTTATCGAGTGATTCAGAAGTTTGTGTTGCTCTAATCAATGGCTGTTTCCTCATTTGGAAACACAAGCTAATCAGGGAAACACAGAAATTACATCTACTGTAACTGCGCCAGAGCCAGAATCTAAACATGTTAGATGTCTTTGCTGTTCTCTGCCCATTGGCTTTGTGAATGTTTTTTATTGCCTTGATGGAAGATGAAGTGACAGAGGCACGGCTTGGTTTGATGGCTGTGTATTTTGAAATTCACAGAGACAATGAAATAGCTCGACACAACATGGAGCAAGTTAACTGCTTCTAGCTGCAGCTAGCAGAGTGTCTGGGTTAACAGAAAATGACACAGAGCGGATGGATACAAGCGTCATAAGTATCATTTATAGGGCTGCTGTAAGCCAAGCACCTTTCTTCAGTGGGTGTGGTGCATCAGTAAGGATGAGAAGGAGGGAGGGAAAGTAGCTCTTGCAGGTCCTGTAGGTCTGGCATGTAATATCTGCAGTAAATCTGGTGTGGTTTGAAATGGGTTTATGCACAGTAATAATCTCTATTGTCACTTCTACGCTCGTCCACTAATCTGTATTTTTTGCTGTGGTAATCTCTTGTCTCCATGGGGATTTATGTTTGTAGTCCATGAATGTCGTTGCCATAGAAACAAGTTCCTCCCCTCTCTGCCCCCATTCTGCCCCTCAGAGTAGGGGTGGGTGGGAATGTATGTTTTTTTTTTTGTGAGAGTTGTCACATCTGCTTTATCAGATAGTAAAAAAAAGTGAAAACCAATAAAGCCAGAAAGGTAACTCTGTCTTCTCTCTCTATTTCTGGACTTTAACACTCAATCCTCTGTCTGTCTCTCATAAACTTCTATCTCTCGGGCCACAGGCCAGGTCAGGAAGTTGTTGTTGCTATGACGACAACGCCTAAATCCCAGACGGACAGCAATGGAGTTTAAGTTGGGGACCTGTAGTGTTTGTATTTGAGTGACGTTTGCAGCTGCAATATGGTGTTTGTGACTGTGTGAAGGGTAAAAACAGCAACCCTTTAAATGAGGAAATGAGGATATGGTCTCATTTGGGGAATCTGGTCAGTAAGTGTTTCTAAAAGTTAGCAATACCCCCAGGGATTTTTAGCCAGAGTAGAAAAATCTGGTGGGCGGAGCACCTTCCCTGATGTTATTGTCTGAGAGGTTTCTGTTTATGTATTCAGTAATGCTGTTTTTCCCTATAATGTAATGTATACATGCAAAATATTGCAGGCAAAAAATGTGAAGTAATGGCTCTATGTTGTTGACATTCCCTGAGGTATTGTGAATTGTCCATGCTACTTTCCATTAGTAATCTGGCACAGTAGGCATACACAGTTGTGGTCTCTCTCTTCATTTCTCCTTCATCTATCATCTTTCACCTCTCTGCATCTCTCTCTTGCTCTCTTTTTATACACTCTTCTTTACCACCACCCCACCCCCCACCCACCCTGTTCTCTCTCTTTTTCTGCCCTTGTTTCTCCCAGCGATAGTCTCAAGGGAAGCAGGCGCGGAGCTCTGAGGAAGAGGAGAGGATGGAGGAGAGAAAATGGCAATGACAGTTTTGTAGGGCAGGCTTTTGCTAAGAGGTGGGGAACGCAAGTGAAGGAAAGAGACAAACGGAAAGTTATAGGCAAAAAGAAAGTGAGAATAAAGAGAAGGGTAACGGTGAGAAGAAGTAAAGAGAAGAGACATAAGGAAAGGAGTTACAGGGAAAAAGAGAGCAACAGAAGCAACACTAGGTAAGGCCATTAGTTGTGTCCATCAGTTCATTTAACAGTTCATTCATTTAAAAAGCAGAAAATGACACGAGGTGTTGGAAGGATGGATTTAGTGTCTTGTGTAGTACAGCAGTAAATCCTGAAGGAGCTATTTAATGAGGTAAAGTTTAAAGGGTCTGTTCAGTGTCAGTCCTTGTATAAGTACATTTTTCATCTTTGCTGTGACAGTCATGTGCAAACAACTGTTCATTGAATGCTGGAAATTGTGTCAAGAAAACATCAACATCATATTCTAATCTGACTGAGTAAAGCAAATAATAGGATGAAAAATACTAAAACTAAAATAAATACTGATAAGCTGCTTGACAGCATGTAACCTGCTAATATTTAAGCTCTTAGATATCAATAAGATAAAGAACTAAGTTGAGATATGCTAGTGAGTGTTTCAGAAAACAACATCCCTCTCAAGTACATACACAAACAAAGAAATGCCTCGTCTAATTCAACTGGAAATAGTAGCTGTGTGTCTGAGTTTATGTTTATCTTGACTCTGCAGGCTTTTCTCTTGCCTATTTGGACAACTGGGTTACTTGAACGCTGCTAATTGGCTGTGAAATAGCGAGATAAAACGTCCCAACAGCATGCACAGCACTCGCCTCTAGACAAATTCTGCAGATACTTTCTTGATGAAACAAAAAAAACAAAAACACATAACAACTGACAATAGACAATAGTTAAACCCATGTCATTCAGGAGATAGATGTAGCCCTGTTGTATACAAGAATACTGCACTGTGATGACGACCAGCTTCCCGACACTGACTTACTTTAGATGATGTACCGATGCTTTTACTGCCATAAACCATTTACTGTATGTATATGCTTATATATATGTATGGTGTGTGTGTGTGTGTGTGTGTGTGTGTGTGTGTATACACACATATGAAGAGAGGGTGTAATAATGCCACTGCTATTGTTTATATGGACTGTGGGAAGAGGAGAGAAAGAGGAGGGGTTTGGAGAAAGATAATGTGAGTGGGCGATTGGAGGGGATTGAAAGGGGGCCCAGAAGAAAGGATTGAGAGAGGAGAGAGATGAGTGCAGAGATTTAGTGAAAAAGAGAAAGAGGCACCCTGGGCTGAAGAGCAGAAGGGAAAGATAGAAAGTGGTAGAGAGCGAGGAGAGGACGAGTTAGAAAGTTGTGAGAGAGGTAGAACAAGGTTCTCGGTGTTAAGCAGTTGTAGAGAGAGAGGCTGGTTTAAAGCAGGCCTAAGTGGCCGTGACGAACATCTTGCAAAAAAGCTGCACTCTGATGCCAACTCACACAAACACACACATAAATACACTCCTAGCTAGTCCATTGAGGAACACCGTGTCTTAGAGGGAACAGCAGTAAGGTAGCAACAGACCTGTTTTGATCACTCTAGGGTTGGAAGAATGAAGGAGCAAATTGGGCAAATCCATTGCGTCATACACAGGGCAAAAATATTTCAGAAATCCCCCTTTTTGGACATTTAAAACCCTACGTAATAGTCTCGTCATGCTTGCATGGTACACAGCTATGCTTTGGTCAGTGCCAGGGTGTTTCAGCATGGATTAATTCAGCAGAGACTTGCTGTGCATGCTGTTGCTTTACAGTGTACACTGATCATACCCTGCTTCAGCTGTCACAGGTCCGTTTACTATTGGTGGCCATGCCTGTTTTTTTCAATGAGGAACTAAAATAGCTTTCCCCTTTTTTTTCTTTGAAAACGTTTTGATTTGTTGACTTAAACTGAAAGATATGTGAATAATGAAAATGACATTAATATGCTGATATTTAGCAGGTACGTTTACCATGTTCATCTTCTTAGATGTAGTTCCAGCATGTCAACATTTGTGCAAAACACAAAGTGCAGCTGATCATTAGATTTTAGGGCCGTCACTTCTTCCCAAAATCATGTTTTTTTTCAAACGACACGCGAATCGTTTGAATGCCTTCGATCAAGCGATCTCTAAACACATTGTACAAATGTATGACACCACTCAGGCAAACATAACAGAACAACTATACTATAGGATAAGCTTTTGCTCTTACTACACCAATGGGCCACATATCCGCATATCCTTGCATATAAATCTTGCTCTCTTAGGTGATGGCATTTTCATGAGATTATGGTGAGGGTCCATCCAATAGTTGTCGAGACATTTCCCTCATAAACTATAAGTATTACCAAAGTCATTCATCCACTAGCTAACATGAATGTCTGTACGACATGTAATGGCAATCAATCCAGTAGTTGTTGATATGTGTCAGTTTGAACTGAAGGGGCGGACTGAATCAACATCTGGCCAACAGACCGACGCTGCCACACCTACAGCCACACTGACAGCATGGCTAAACATGACGTCACTATAGTACTTGATTTAAAAGATTTGCACCTTTAATAGGCTTCAGTGGGCTGGAGGCAGAGTGCTGTTTGTTGTGTAATGTCACTGGGATTCCCTCTTTATGAGATATCAGTTGTATTTGACTTGTTTCTCCTTATCTGCAGAAGCACGGTGTTATTTGGCCTCTCTGACATTTGCACACACCTACACACACACACACACACACACCTCTCTCCATCATCTCCCCTCCTCCCCTCTCTACCTCATTAGCCAATCATGCGTAAGGAGACCTGTTCTATTTTTACTCCCGCCCCCTCCCTACACACCACTGCTGCACTGTTAACAACTGTGTGTGTGTGTGTGTGTGTCCTCTCCTCTCCTCTCCTCTCCTCTCCTCTCCTCTCCTATTGAAGGTGGCAGGGCAGAAAAGAGAAAGTCAGAGAACTGGTAAGATGGTCAGAAAGTAAAATGGAGGCGACGTAATGAATAATAGAATCAGCGAGAGACCCAGAGAGACACAATGTGAGGGAAAACAGGCTGAAAAAGATTCAGAACAATTGAAAGGACAGAGAATGACAATGACTTCATAGTGTGTGAATCATGTTTAACCTTCAGCCTGAAGCTGCTAGTGTACAAAATGCTCAAACACACAACCACCAGACCAAAACAGACTGTGCGGGCAGGTAGACACCCTCAGTGGGTTGGTTTGGACATTTTGACCTCAACTTCCCCTCAAGACCAATGTCATGGTCATCTAGTGTTATCAACAAATTAGTGTCATGCTGAATAACTATGTCTGTTGCTGTGATGGGTTGTGTGCGGACAGTGCTGCCAAAGATATTTGGGTTGAAGAGTGTGTTGACCGCAGCTGCAGGGTAAAACCAATGAGTCAGATATTAGGACTTGAGTAATTCCCCCTGTTTCACTCTCTCTGTGTGTGTGTGTGTGTCTGTGTGTGTGTGTGTCTGTGTGTGTGTCTGTGTGCATGCATCAATGTGTGCAACTTCTTGTAACCAGCTGTTGACTGTTGAGCTGTTTACCCAGATGAAACTCATTGTGTGGCATAATGACATCCTAAAATCTTGTTTAAAACGTGTTTTTGTGTACTTGTGTAAAAGAGGTGTGGAGCACTCCAATCCAACAGCTAATGTTTTGAACAGCTCTGAGCTAAGGGCCATATTCAGCTGACTTATATAAGCCTAATATATTTAATTTTGGTATTGTATTCCCTACATGATGTTACTAAAGTACCTAATAGCTTTATATTTCCAGAGATATTTTGTCTACCATTCTGTCTTCTCTGGCATTGTAAAGGGAAACATAGATCCCTCTCAAAGAGCATACCATGGGACCATGTGGCTCATTTATTAAAGATACTCCAGAATCCAAGTTGCGTACGATGAAAAATTTATATTTGTGCCAAATTCAGTGGAGCAGTCTGATTTTACTCCAGCTCTCTGTGATATAACAGCAGCCAAAACAAAATGAATTCCATCATTTTTGTAGTGGTTTTGGCATATTCTTTCAAGATAATGATCCAGTGAAACAAACCCTAAATAAAATCTGTGTATCATATTCATAATAAAAATACTTATTTGGAATAATTTTGTCACCATGTGATACTTCGAAATCGAAATCAAATCTAATGCTCTTCCATTGCTCTCCCTTCTCGTTCTGCAGGTTGACGGGTCATCATGACGACAGAGGTGGGCTCTGAGACAGAGGTGAAGGAGAAAGCCGAGGAGTCAGCCGCTCAGCCGGACCAATCAGAGAAGGCCAGGGAAGAAACCCAGGAAGTAGCGAACGCTGAGGGAGAGGAGAAGGAGAAAGAGAAGGAGAAAGAGGGGAAAGAGGGAAAAGGAATATCTCGATACCTGCCAACATGGCTTAAGAAGCAGAAGTCTCTCCAGGTAAAATTCGTATTATAATTATATTGTAATGGCTGATTAAAAAACACTGGTTAAATTATTAAGCAGCAATTATTTAATGTACCAATCATAACGTTTTTAATGTCTGTTTTTTTTCCCCCTGACCCATGAAGACCTCCCCAACCAAGGAGGTCTCATCCACAGAGGAAGCCGTTAACAAGGTGACACAGGAAGAAGAGGGGCCTGCCCCAGAAGTGAACGGTCACGCAGAGGAAGTGGAAGAGAAAGAGGCAGTGAAGTCTGAGCAAGTGAAGGAAAAAGAAGCAGAATCTCATTCCAACGCCAGCGCAGACACTGAGGTATCAGTCACACCTGGCCCAATTTCTCCCCACACCCCATCAGTGCACATGCTGGAAGATAAAGTAGACAGGGGTTCTCCCGTTAGTCTGAATGCAACTTAACATTTTCGGAATTTACCTTTTTAATGCGCCGTCTTGCTGAGTCGTTTGATTGATTGATAGATAGATAGATAGATAGATAGATAGATAGATAGATAGATAGATAGATAGATAGATAGATAGATAGATAGGTGAACCAACAACCAGCTAGCCGGCTAGCTTAGCTTAGCATAAAGATTGGAAGCAGGGGTAAATGACTAACCAACAAAAAGTTATTGTTTTTTTGTTTTTTTAAGGAGGTTTAGTGCACAGTCACTTCCTGGATTGTTATTGTCACAGTGAGGTTGTCAAGCAGTCAGCAAGAGAGTCAAGGAAGTTACTGCTCCCAGCCAAGAAATAGTCCGGTACACGTGGATATACTATCAACCTTCTCATCTAATTATCTGCAAGAAAGGAAAACTTCCTAAAATCTTGAACTATTCCTTTAAAGGCCAGTGAATGTATACTGCAGTAGACTGGATCATCTATAAGTACTGCTCTTCAGAGGACATGCCTTTGTTGTTTCCTCAGATTAAACAACAGCAGTTGCATGCTGTACATAAGTATACACGGAATGGTTGGACCGTTTTAGATTATTGTCAATGCAGTGTAACATTATTGCTTGATGTCACAAGCAGATTAACTCGGTAACCACATAGGTGAAAGCAGCACCAAGCCTATTTCCTTACAGTAAACTGGTATTTTGCCTAAACAAATGTCCCTCTTTTGCCTCAGCCAAGAGAGAAAGAAACACATTTGCGCATGCACACACGCACGCACGCACGCACGCACGCACACACACACACACACGCACGCACGCACACACACACACACACACACACACAAAGCCATTCTTCCTCATACACATGCACACACATAAACTGTTCCATCCAGTGATCACATTAAGGCACCGAGGCCCACCCAGTGACATCAACATTTCAGTAATCAGGCCAAAAGAAACGCCTGCAGTTTCTAAGAGCAGATTCAGACTAGAGGGGGAATTACGAAAGGAGAGTGATAGAGAGAAGCCAGTGTTCCCTCTTACTTAGTTTGGGCAAACAGTCGGATTTTAGGTGATTTCCTTCATACTGACCACTTCTGACTTTTTTAAGAAGATTGTAAGTTTTTGCATGACGACCACAGTGTGTGTGTGCGCGTGTAGCTGAAGTTTGACACAAGTTTTCTCCTTTTTTTTTTTCTTTGCAAACTCCATCAGCCTGCCAAGGAAGAGAAGGTGGAAGAGAGTGCTGAGAAAAGTCCTGAGGTGACAACAGAGGGAGAAGGAGCAGAGGAGCAGAAGAAGGAGCAGGAAGGAGAGGTGGAAGGTGTAGAGGAGGGAGGAGGAGGAGAAGGCCAGACCTCAATTTTCCAGTCTCCTCTTCGCTTGGTTAGGAAGACCAAGATGAAGCTGGTGGTGTGTCACGTGAACCTCCTGGACGGGACTGACTTCAGCTGTGAGGTGGAGGTAAGACAAAAAAACAACAACTCAGTGATCAGACGCACACGCAATGTAGAGTGTGAGCATGGGTGTGGGGGAGAAAAGAAGTTGGGGAGGGTAAATATCTGTGAATATCTGCAGTTTTTAAATTAGATCATTAAAATGTACTCCCTCAAAGGTCTTGGGTGCAGCTCATGGGTGCATTTCCACAACATTTATTTTATAAATGAATTTTGTTGACACCTTAATCTTCCAGCGTTCTGTCATGCAGCTGCAAATAGTTAAAGCAGCCTTCCCACTTTCCTTTACATCTGTTCAGACAAAAAAAAGAAGGGAATTGAGGTTAGGTCTGTTCTGATCTCATGTGATCAAACCAATGTGCCATGGCTGAAGCATACTAAATTGCAGAATGCGAAAGAACATCGAGAATGTTTGTAGCGATAATGTTTTCATCGGTGGAAGATAAAATAGTCCCTTTAACTAGCTACCGACAGACAGAACCGACACAGCGTCCGTCAAACGTTCCTTTGCTGGTCAAGAAGGCCACACGTGAGTGCCAGTGTGTCAATGATGTAATCACTAATAGGATCAGATCTAGTGTGTGTGTGTGTGTGTGTGTGTGTGTGTGTGTGTGTGTGTGTGTGTGTGTGTGTGTGTGTGTGTGTGTGTGTGTGTGTGTGTGTGTGTCTCTGTGTCTCTGTGTCTGTGTCTCTGTACGTATGAGCGTGAGGGTGTTTTAACTTTTTGACTCAAAGTGCAGTTATGGCAGAAGCACCCGCTCACAGTGTCTGGGCGTGGTTTAGGGGATAAATGCAGAGCAAAGCAGAGCGCACTACAGGGGCTTGTCTGGTGACCAGAACACACACACACACACACACACACACACACACACACACACACACAGAAACCTGGCAGATTATGGGGGTCTCACCAGATTAGTTTTCTGCATCTGTTACTCCCTAACAAGCACGTGCAGACCCCTCTACACCACACACTCAAACATACTTGTACACACACTCACAACATCTCGTGTTCTTCGTGCTGGGGTAACAATTTATCAGCAATAGTGATTTAATCTATAGTAGCACGTAAGTGAGTTTTTATTTGGTACTTAATTCAGTGTGAGAGAAGAATAAATAATTTTACCAGAAATGTTACTGTTGCTTATCATCCAATGCTCCTTTTAACATGTGTGTTTTTCTCATTATTACCACAGCTCATGGTAAAAAACACATGTTTCCCAAGCAGTGTGCACTTTTTTAGCAGTACCCCTCCTCACATTCCCACACTCACTCACATTCACTGGGAAGCTGCCTAGAATAGCCACCGTGCAGGTCCACTGGAGCTGTTTACAGTTAAGTGCCAGGTTCAAAGGCCCCTCAACAGAGCAGTGAGCCTTTCTCATGTCTAGATTTTTCCCATTTGGCGTTGGGATTTCAACTGGCAACTTTACCACAGTGAGCCCTTCTCCCTTATCTACAGTATGCCAACGCCCAACAGCGTGCCTGTGAGTGTCTACGGTCGTTTGAACAGTAGCTGCTTTGTCGCAAACAGAAAACGCTGATACTGCAACTAACTGCTATTGTCCTGAAGTACACACACACACACACTCTCTCTCACACACACACACACACTCTTACACACATATCCATCCATCTCTCCCTCCACACACTAGCATGGTTAGATCGCGAGAGGGAGAGATGCACAATGCATTCCAGAGATTAAATTTTCTGTTTTGCCCAGCAGGCCTCCAACACACACAATACCACACACACACACACACACACACACACACACACACACACACACACACACCAGTTTCTACTCTAACTCTGTGTTCATTCTTCTATCATCCTTCTGTCCTATTTATTAACTGATTGCATCACAATTATTCCAGTGTAATAACTTAATTCATATTTTATTAGTTGTAGTTTGTTGAAATGATTCTTGGTCCAGACCTTTCTTGACTCCCTTTAAATGCTGTGTTTCAAAGGGGAGTCTTAGTGTCACATGTTGACTTAATGCTGTTTCTAAGAATTTCATTAGTATTGGTTTCAGCAGGATTTTAGTGTCACACGGTTTAAGTACCGTTTCATAGAATTTCATTAGGTTTCAGACATGAGTCAAGTAGCATTTGCAGATATTAGGCACAGTTGCTTTGGGTTTGATGCATAGAGCGGTGCATTTACTGCCACTTGTTGAAAAAACAAGATACAGACTAGTGCTTACATGATCATTATATGGTTTCATTCTTCCCCATGATTATGTTTATATGTAATTATAGCAGGTACTTGGTGATGTAGGGATTCAAGGTAATTCAACGTTACAGTTGTTTATGTTGCTATTACAAGCTGTAAAATGGGAACGTATTTTCCATGATCAACTGATAACTTGGCAATATGTAAATTGGCCTCTCACATCATCATTGTCTGTCTCATAACGAGTGTGTGACAGACGTCCAGACATTTGTTGATAAAATTAAGGAATCTGTAACTTCCTGCAGCCATCAGACTTTTTTTCTTAGGTAGTGCCTTGCTTGGAGGCACAGACACAGAACCCCCGTTAAGGTCACATTCTCACATTCTTTGGGGCGTTCAGAATGCAACTACACTGTGAGTTTCTGTATGCGGCCCATGTGCTTGACCAAGTATAGGAAAATACCGCAGATGTTTTCAGCTGTCCCAGGACAAGAAGAAAAATGCACTCTTTCATCCTCTTTCCTTCCACTTTCACCACGCTCCCTGCCCTGTCTGTGAGTCTGTCTGCAAAATGCCACTGTCATTTGGTATGTTAGGCTAGACTGTGCTGCCTAACTGAGAAGAAATGAATATTATTTATGTCATTCTTTCTCATCTTTTTCTCTTTTCCACCCTCTCTCTGTCTGACCTTCTGTCTGTCTAAAGGGCACCGTTGTGTGTTTGTGTGCATGGATGTGTGCTAAATGTCATTGTCATAGTTGAGTGTGGAGGTTTTTATGGATAAGCCTCCCATCGGGCCTATGAAGGAATGTGTTGCCCAGAGACAGATGGAGAAATTGAGAAAGGAAGCAAGCGAATAATGGAACAGATGTAGATTAAACAGAGACGCATTGATAGAGGTTTGAACAGGGACTTTATTAGTGTCTCACTAGACCATACAAAATTACTTAATAAATTATTTTCACAGGGTACACTTATTCTTGTGATCATATTTCTCAAGCTTTAAAATTACATTTGAAACTTGACAACTAGAAACATTATTTAGTAACTTTAAGTATTGGTTTTCCATCACAATGTGCAAACTTTAATCTTTGTGTTTGAATCTCTCTCTCTCTCTCTCTCTCTCTCTCTCTCTCTCTCTCTCTCTCTCTCTCTCTCTCTCTCTCTGCAGAAACGTGCTAAGGGTCAGTACTTATTCTTCAAGGTGTGTGAGCACCTCAATCTACTGGAGAAAGACTACTTTGGTCTGACGTACACAGACAGCCATGAACAAACGGTATGTATCCATGCACACGCATACACAGGATGTATTGTATGCCAAATAAGTCAGCAATGTTCACATATAGAAACTCCAGACATGGATGTCTGTACAGTTTCTTGTGACACTGTTTCCTGATAGAGGTTAACTTTCTTCCTGCTCTGTTTCTCGGTGCCTCTCTCTTGCTCACTCCAGTGTTGGTTGGATCCCACGAAGGAAATCAAGAGACAGATACGCAGTAAGTTTTATTTTTTCAAATCACACTCCTGCTGCCTTCCATCCATCTCTAGCTCTCTAGCCCTCAGCCTCCAGGATGTTTCACATAATACAGGGGCCCCAACTTCTCAGTCACAAGGCACTGAATTAAATATAAATATTAAATTAATAAAAGAGTTCAAGTATCCCCAAGGGAAAAGCATCACAGTTAAGTCAACAAAGCCAGAGACACTTGAAACCAAACGACAGCCGTCTTGCCAGAGCTGGCAGTGTGGAAGAGGTTACCAAAGTGTGATCGTTCTGCTTCATTATTCATCGATCTCTTTATTACCTGTTGTTAATTTATAAATGCGGTGCGAGGCGTGTCATCTCATCTTTTGTTGATAGACAGCTATCAAGCGTGTGGTGCAACCAAGCATAGTTGAGGCTTATTTTTGAATGCACACATGTAACAATTAAAAAGGTATCCTCCTGACATCATTACAGATTACAATGGCAGACAGGATCATGTTAGAATTTAGATCAGTCAGGTTGCTGCTTTTCCAGTTTGTCATGCCAATTGTTGAATATTTGATTTGAGGATTTTTTTTTTTAATGATTAGTTTGTGTGTTTTTGAAGAATATGCCAATAATTCTAGCTTTTTTTCCCCCCTGCTTATTTCTTGCTTCTCCTTTCTTACAATACAATCCGAACAGGCTTTAACACTAAAAACTTAAAGTCACACTTTTAAGAGGATGCCCTAGTAAAAACATATCATTTTGACTCATAAAATGTTATTTTAAAATTAGTACATGAGGTAGTTTCGTCTGGGTGTATTCAGACTGTGTGTGGTTTCGTGTGTATGTGTAAGCAGCCCAGAGTGTGTGGTGAACATGCATGCCTGTGTTTTTGTGGCAGTGAGTGTGCCTGTGGTTCGTGGATGAGTGGTATGCAACTGGCCGCATGTGTTCATTTGTGTACATTTTTCTGTGTGTGCGAATGTTTGCAGTGAGAGAAAGATCATGTGTGTTGCCTATTTCTGCCAGACACACAAATGACAGGTTTGACACTATTCTGCTCTAAACTACCATCAGTGTACGCTCGGCCGTCACAAGCCTGCGTCACTACATACTGGGCTGGGACCTAAACATTTGTCATTGAATGTTTTTTATGGGTCCTTCAATTATTTTGGAAAGATCAAAGCTGCTGCATGTGCTGTGCTTTTAAAGCCTTGCTAGACCACCCTGTGATCTAAAATAGAGCTGTTGCAATCATCATCTGTAAGAAGACGACTGCAGCGGTGTGGGTATTGAGGTTCTGTCTATGCTTTTAGGGACTCCTGTCGGGGCTTGAAATTCAGTTATTTCCTCAGTGTCCCACAACTGTCCCCAAATGGACGCGCTTTTTTCTTTCTATGTGGTAAATGTAGTTTAATAACTTTGGTTCAGTAACACACTTAATTGACTCAGTCTGGTCCGCCATGGAAGTTTTTTCCTGTCCTTATAGCTGAATAAAAAAATTAAATCACCCTAGGTGTTTGGCCACAATCAGTCTTCATTAGTCACTGGTTGAGTTACTTGTTTATTTCTAACTGTTTGATTAATAAATGCATTACTGCAAACTGCAATGTAAATGTAAAAGGCAATGGAAATTTACATACAGGCTTTTTATTTATACATAATTATTATTTAGCCAAATAATCACATACTCACCACAGGTACATCGCATATTTGAAGTAAAAAACATCTAAAAAGAATCTACAAAGGGAGGGAGAAGATCAAACGGACTATTTAAATATTTACAAGCTCAAACAATCTATTTACATATAAGCTACAGGAACACCCTAATCCAGAGATCTCGGCAGGAAGAGTGAGACAGAAGGTCAAATGTGCGCCACACGCCACACCTACTGACTGCCTTAACACGGCGCAAGAGGACACATAGAGACCCCGGTGAACTCACATTTTTCAAATTTAAACACCTAATAATTAAAAATATATATATATTCAATGACACATAAACATAGTAATTTCATTTGTAAGGTTGCATTTCTTAACTGTCCCAGAATTGTCCCAGACTATCTTTGTGTCCCAGGTGCTATATTTATTGTCCCTGGGACATCGGGACATCCTTCATTTCGTGCGCTGATTCCTACTTGGAGTACAGCTTACTATGGTCTCATCATGGTTTGCAGATGGGGTCAGATCATGTAAAAATAAGATTAATCTGATTAAAATAAAATAAATGATCAGCCACATAAAAGGATGGTGAAGAAAAACATGTAGGTTAGTTGATGGAAAGTTGGGAAAATGTTAAATGTTGTGACAGCACAGCTAAAATAGTAGGAAAATAAGGAGAATTTAATCAACTAAGCTTTAAGAGCCAATAAAAATAAAAATTGAAACCAAATATCTTTGCTGTCTGCAGTCAGATCCACCATAAAAAAATAATACAGAAGTTAGCTCCTTCTCAGATTTCACTTTGACAGATAATGAGAACAGCATTTCATCTCACTCTTAAAGTAGGGCTTATTGTCACTGAAAGCCGAGTAGGAAGGCTGAGAGTCTGAATTTAGTCCAGTCAGTAGACTTCTTCAGTGCGTGTGGCTGCTGTTAATGTTTAACTGCAGCACGCATGTTCTCTAAATAATCAAACTAACTTTTACAGTGCTGGGTGTCTCACCGTGCTGATACTGTCAGTCCACTGTTGTAGAACATTTGTAGCCAGTTCAGTTTAGCTTAGTTTAAATAGGTTTAATAGTTTAAACCTATTTAGCCTATACTAAAGTAATAGGATTATAAGGGTAAATATTTGATCATTTATGGTAAAATTCCTACATTCCTCCAAGTCAAACATTTAATTGAACATATGTTTTTTTTAATATTCTATAGAAAGATATGCTTTAAAGGAATAAGTCACCCACAAAAGGCTGGGTGGGAAAGATCTGTGGATGAGATGAAGGTGTGGAAGAAGCCAGGGGGAAAGGTCAAAAGAAAGTGCTAATATGAAGGGAGTGGAGGAGAAGTAAGGAATTGTTGCCAGGAAGAGTGTAGTGGATCTACTGCAGGGAGGAGAGGGATAGGATGTATGTGTATACCAGTAACAGTATGTGTATATTCTATGCGTCATGTGGCAGATTGATGGCTGGCACGCGGTTGTGTAGAAAGATGAACTGGTCACCAGAGACTCCCAAAGCACTTAGTGCCGCCAACAATATATAAAAACTCTCACTCTCACTCCCAGACACATCAACACACTTCCATACTCACACAGCAACACACACACTCAGGTTAGGAAACAGGACTATCTGCACTCAAGATTCCTGTGGAAAGAATAAGAAAAACCACTAAATCAGCATAAAATGGAAAACTGATATTTCACCTTGTTTTCACCTCATGCGTTGCATCTTTTTGAGTTAGTCGCAGTGAGAGCACCATTGTTGAGTTTCCTCGTGTCATTTCAGTGTCCACTATTCTTCCAGCTCCTTTGGGATGCAGCTGTGAAGGCTCTACGTCTGCACGTGTGTGTGAGGTCCTGTTGCTGCGTGTGCACGTGCGCATGTGTGTATACATAGATGTGTGTCTGACCTTGGTGGAGGAAATGGTCTCGGTGTGATGTCAGCTTTTCCCGGATGGAATTTTCCAGATGATGTGATCTCCATCTTTATTTGAGTGTGTGTGTGTGAGTGTGTGTGTTTGTGTGTGTGTGTGAGTGTGTGTGTGTGTGTGTGTGTGTGTGTGTGTGTGTGTGCATGCATGAGTATGTGTGTGTGTTGTTGGGTGGAGCCAAGCAATACAGAATGGGTGTAGATGGAGACAGTGGTAGGCATGGTGATATGGGCTCCTGAGGGAATGAGAGAAGGAAATTGGAGCCAAATGATGATTGATATGAAATGAGTGCTGTCCAAAAGGAAACCATATTATGACACAACGATATTTGAGAAGATATTTTGGCGATTTAGCTGGTGATAACATTCCTCATGATGATGCTGAACATTACAGTTTGCTATTTGTTGAAGCCAGAATGACGTTATGCCATACCATGTCTGCTGCTGCTGTATTTGTGTTGTGCGTGCGTCCGTAATGTACCAGGCTTAGCAGAATCTAAAAGCTGTTCTGCATTAAGCAGATGGGTGACATGGGAATAGGGATGGGTGGAATTGCATAGAAATACAGGCAACTCTCAATCAATCAGTTCTTCTGGTTCAAATATATGCATATCGCCCTGTACTTATTATACATATGTAATGTTATTGTGCTGTAAATCTCTTTCTCCAGGTAACAACTGGCAGTTTGCATTCAATGTCAAGTTCTACCCTCCAGACCCCTCACTGCTCACTGAAGACATTACCAGGTACACACACACACACACACACACACACACAAACACACACACACACACACATACACGCATACACATACAGATGTACCATGTAAGAGATGTACCAATGTTTACTTAAACCTGCATTAATACTGGACTTACATTCACCTGATGAATATAAGTCCAGTATTGACTCTTTCTTGTTGCTTTTTTTGGTCTTCTCTAAGACTCTCTCTCCCTGAGGAAAAACATCTGTCTTTTTAGATGCTAAATGCTCCACTATGTTCATTTCCTAGTTGCCAGTATTGTTTGCTGCGTGGTGCTTGGCAGGTATTGTCAGTTTATCAGAGTTTTTTTTTGCTAAAAAACAACTGACAACTGCTGCTGGAAACGGGGTTGATAAAATCAGTGAGAGTGAAACATTAATGTTGGAGGCTTTAAAACCAAATTAATGAGGTGAAAGAGGCTAAAAGGCTCTGTAGAACTGTGGGAAATATATAGATTCACATGTCTAAGGAGTAACAAAGAAACGGACACAAGTTGGGTTTGTGCATATTGTTAAGTCATTTGTATCTGTACATATGCGCACACACACACACACACACACACACACACAGGCATGGTCCAAGCACACAGCATTTAGGTTGGAGTGTATGTCTAATGGAGCGAACAACTTCTCTGATGGTTGTACTGAAGCTAAAGGCTAATCGAGGACACAAACACACACACACACACTCATTAACACGCATACACCCACTTAGACCAGTACCAACAACTGACCTGCATTGAGTGGCGACAGGAACTGCTATTTCTTCTCCAACACTATAGGTGTCTAAATTTAGCCTGTATATCTTTTGTTAACTTTCAATAGACACATTAAATGCAGTTTAATTTCTTCATCTTATCCTGGGTCAATATATTTTACCAATGACGAGAAGCTCTTTAACTGGATGACTGGAGTTTAATTCTCCATGTCAGCAACTGTCCCACTAAAGTGACTTTGAATGACATTTTTCAGTTGTCAGGATGATACATTTCCCAGCACCCTGAGGTGTCCGAATTAGTCATCCACACAGAAGCTCTATTCACATAATGAATCCTTCCAACGTTCACTGCAGAGGACAGTGTACACTGTCTTAAATCCGCACAACCACTGGGCAGTGGATGCACAAGTTATGCAACTGAGTCTGGGTATGTCATGGTGAGGATTAGACATAAGGTTATCCCAGCAAACCAGTGTACCAGCATACTAAGGAAATTATAGAACAAACACAGCATCAACAAAGACATTTAATCCACACCAGCTGACCCTGTGCTTGTGCCTCACAGGAGGAGAGGCAATTTGGCTTCTGGGATCGCTTTATTATTATCATGAACAATGGAGCCAGTTCCAATTAAAAGAAAGGCTTAGAACAAGTTTTGTTTTTTTAACCCTAAAACCCAGCCTGTTGCCCTTTTATCTCTCCTGTAGGTACCTGTTGTGTCTGCAGCTTCGTGAAGATGTGGCTTCTGGACGACTGCCCTGCTCATTTGTTACTCACGCTCTGCTGGGGTCATACACACTGCAGGTAGAATACACTATGTGTAGATATGTCCCTAATGCCCGTGCTTGTGTGGTGTGCAGGTTTCCAGATGTGGCCCGCTTATGTGTCTCTGTTTATGTATCAGTATATATGCTGGGCTGCATCCTTCTGCTTTACAGGCAGAATTTGGCGACTATGAACCCGACCAGCCTCGGCCTCATGACTACATTAGTCAGCGGACCTTTGCGCCGAATCAGAACAAAGAGATGGAGGAGAAGATTCTTGAACTCCACAAGTCTCACAGGTCAGAGAGAAGAAGGCCATGTAGTCTAAAGTAGTCAGGGACAAATATGTATGTCTTTTTCTTGCCATTAAAAGCTGTCGATATGCTTGCTTACAGTATGTGTGTAACTATGTGTTTAGGGGAATGACACCAGCACAAGCCGACACCCAGTTTCTAGAAAATGCCAAGAAACTGTCCATGTATGGGGTGGACCTGCACCATGCTAAGGTATGAATAAATGAATGAATCCTCTCTGTTTCCCCTTTTCTCCTCTCCTCCCCATTGTTGTTGACATCAGGTGATTAGCACAGCTTCTTTGATGTGGGAAGAGTGTGTCTGTGTGTCTGCATGTTTGTGTCACTGTATCTGTTTGTGTGTGTGTGTGTGTGTGTGTGTGTGTGTGTGTGTGTGTGTGTGTGTGTGTGTGTGTGTGTGTGTGTGTGTGTGTCAGCTGTACAAACACTCAGGGAGGCCATTGCCATGGGAACAGCCTGTCTCTCTCACTGGGATAGCAGGTCATCAGCAGACTGCGTGCATTTTTCCATGTGTGTCTGAGTATGTTTGTGTGTCTTTGTGCAAGCCGGGGAGGAAGAATGAGGGAAATATGCATGAAAGGGAGAAAGAGGGAGTCTGAAAATAGAAAGAGAGGATGTGCAGTTGGGATACATAGAGGACAAAGACATAACAAACAGACATTAGGTTAGAGTGAGATGGGGACAGATCCTTGAAAGAGAGAAAGAGGAGAGACCCCTTTAAGGGCACGCTCTACTTGTTTGCAACACAGAGCGAGAGAAGCAGGGGAAAGATGAGAGCAGCAGAGAGAGCGTTTCAAAATGTTGAAAATCTTTTTATGGCATACCAAAGTTGTGGGAATTCAAGGGGCAGATCTATTTCTGTCCTGTGCCATTAAAGTTTCAGGACCCCAAGGCCCAAAAAGGAATCTTTTTCAAATACATACAATATGTCAAATGATCAGAATCCTTTTAAACAGACACAAAGGCACTTTTTTATGTTTAATAAAAATAAAATTTGACAAATTTTAACAACTTTAAATTGTTGAAATTTAAATTACCTGATTATCAATTTCAAAAAAGACATTTCATAATAAAATGTATATTTCACCCACAAAGATTGGTCAAATGCAAGGGTTTTATAGGGCAATATTGGTTTTACTGGTGTATTTGTTATTACCAGCAGAGACAGGCCACACCTATTCATCATCATCATTTTGGGACACAACAGTGTTTGATTACCAGGATTAATAGACCATCTTGACATGTCGGAGTAAGAAAACAGGTGTAAATAATAAAATATGATAATATTAAAGATGGCTGAATTCCTTTTAGAGGCTTCAGTTTCAGGTTCCTGGTCTTGTTCATGCTTGCTCACTGTCACACACTGAACAGTTGACATAATTCTGGATTCACCATTAAGCACTGGCATTTAACAATACTTTAGGGAGAAATCCATCCATCCCACCACTGGGTTAGGAGCAAAGCAGTCATACAATGTAGAAAATTGTCATTATAAGATAAGATAAACTTTTTTGACCCTACATAGGGAAATTGAAGTGTCACTGCAGCAGAAGCACAAGAACAGATACACAGTGAAGATAAGTAGCTTTAAAAAACAAAATGAGGCATAAAAAGTCTCCCTAAATACTCTATACTCTACAAAAATAGTAGTTTTAGGGCGTGTTGAGAGAAAAATAGAAGTAAGGATACGCAGAACAAAAATTGTATACAAAAATAAAAACAAAAGTTTCTCTAAAGAGAATTGAATCGGGTGTTGGGTAAAGTGTCTTGTGTCTGGAGATAGCAGAGTTACAAGCAAGAAATACATTTGCACTTTTAGCAGCAAAAACAGAGTTACTGTGTCAAAGTATCTGGAATACCAAGACAGTACTGCATAATGTAACAGTTGTCGTGTCATTAACTTGCACTGGTCTGCTGAGAATTAAATTTGAGCTTGAAAAGTCAATACTAGACAACTATAGACAAAACAGTAGGTGCATTGAAAATGCAAATTGCAAAAATATAGTCAACCTGCACTGTTGCAAAATAGTTGCCATCTTTCATTCTGTGTTCAGTTGTCTGGCATTACTTTCATAATTGAGACACACTCTTCCAGAGTTGTCTTCTTGCTGCAGACACTGAAGTTTCGTTGTTTACTTACAGAAACCACTTAAAGCAAATGGGAAATTGTTTTCCCACAGCATCCATTTTGCGCACTACATCCAAGCCAAAGTGCTAAAGTGTATCTCTACTAGGAGCACAGAGATCGATGACCAGCTGATAGTAGAGCAAGGCCATGTTTGTGTGTCCTAGTAAAACTGTCCGTTATCAATATATTGCATCTTCCATTAGTCCAACCGATTTTTCCTGTTAATTTGCTACTGTGATCAATACCCTCCCTCACCATTACCAGATGGCCTTGGACTTAAAAGCTTTGTGTGAGTTAGTCTGTCGGCTAACCATGTTAGAGTTGGACTGAGTGTTTTTTTTAACGGTTTGTTGTTTACCTTTAGCAGACTACTTAATGATCTGATTTAGACAAACAGGTAGCATATACAGATGTTTCACAGAGATTAATTCAAGATTTTCCTAATAAAATGTGTTTTGTACACATTTGAATTTGACTGTTTTAGGATTCTGAGGGCGTGGACATCATGCTAGGTGTGTGTGCCAATGGACTCCTGGTTTACAAAGACAGGCTCCGGATAAATCGTTTTGCTTGGCCCAAAATACTCAAGATTTCATACAAAAGGAACAACTTCTACATTAAGATCCGACCAGGAGAGGTATGTACCCCCACACATGCACACACACAGGCTATAAAAGAGATTTAAGAGAGATTTACTTTGTCCTATGCAAAAGAAAAAACTAATAAAATTATTCTTTATAGTGTTAACATAACAGAGTACTCATCATAACATACTGTTTTAGATCTTTCTTCTGTTGTGGTCAAAACGTCTTAATTTCTTCTTGCTTTTGTGTATCTTTGATAGACGGAGCAGTTTGAGAGCACGGTGGGATTCAAACTCCAGAATCATAGATCTGCCAAAAGACTGTGGAAAGTCTGTGTGGAGAATCACAGTTTCTTCAGGTAGAAATGCACAAATTCAAATACACACTATGAAGCACATTTACTGTGTGTGCACGTGGATTTCAGAGGTTATCCAGTCTGGAGTTTAGGGGAATCGAAACAGCTTGTTGGATAACGTTCAATGAAAAAATTTGTGCTTTATCAGTCTCAACAAAAAGCTGGCTATCTGTCCAGACAATAAGTCGAGAGAGTGTATCTTGTGGTTGTTTAACCAGTCTGATGCCCGGGGCAATGCATACACACACACAGACATGCACACGCACACATAAACGAAGATGAACCAGGTGCCCATCATTTTTCCTTTTGTAGTGTGTGCTGTGGGTGCATGTTTGTATGTCTGTGTGTGTGTGTGTGTGTGTGTAAGAGAATAAGAGAGAATAAGCTTTAATATCCTGTTGAGGGAAGAGTTGCTTGCAAACATTTTTGCCCCCTTTGCACATGCACATATAGTTGTGACTGTTAAATTTTATTACAAAGTAAATCCCTCTGAATAAGGTTTCAAATTCATGCTCCCCAATTTTCCCCATTCTTTCCCTCCCTCCCGGTATCTCTTTTCTCTAGGTTAAACGCACCAGAACCTCCCACCAAGGCCCGCTTCTTGACTCTGGGCTCTAAGTTCCGTTACAGCGGGCGAACCCAGGCCCAGACCCGTGTGGCCAGCTCCCTCATAGACCGACCTGCACCCAACTTTGAACGCACCTCGTCCAAACGTATCAGCCGCAGTCTGGATGGAGGTAACGCACTGACAAAGGAACACAGAAAGATGACGGTCCAGCTTCTCTCTAAACAATATTTAATGAATGGACAGATGAAAAAGGGGTGGAAGGACTGATTGGCAGATGGAAGTGGGGTCATGGATTGATGGTTTGCCTGTGGTTGTGTTTGTGTTTCTGTGTGTGTAAAAAAGCTAGTGCCTGACCAGATACAGGAAATAGCTGGAGCATATGTTTCCTGTCACACAGTGAGAGACAGAGGAGGAGAAAGAAAGAGATGGAAAGATGTGTAAAAATGTGTATCTAAAAGCAAAAACAGCCCTCACAATGAAAGAAATACAGCCTGTAGATACAGTATATAGTCACTCTCATATCAGTCAAACAAAATGGAAAACTGAAGCACAGATCACCAAATTCTCATGTTCTTTCATTACAGGCAGCACAAAATTCTGAAATTACTGAGCTGTCATCACCTTTAATCATTTAACTTAATAACTAATATCTTCTTAAATTCTACATAACCAGTCAGCCATTTTTACATCAAATACATATTGTCTCTGGCAGACAGTACACACCGTTTTCTTGTGGTTTTCCGGATCCCACCTCATGCAGCTGTGCACTGTTTGGCATGTGTCAGGTTATTCTACCATCTTACATTGTCCCCTGCTGGACACATTATTCCACTGCAAGCCAGCATCCTTTTTAACTTATTGCAGACTTATATCTCAAATTAAGTCTTTTTTTTTTTTTTTTTTTACTATACTACACTTTTTCTTTATTACAAGACCAAAACATAGTGTGTGAGAAGTTGAAATGACAATAATAGCTACAACATTTATGTCCTGCCTAAAGTAGTTATAAATAACTGTAAATTATTGGAATCAATTTAGTTTGCCCTTGTATGGGAGTGAATTAAGAGTCAGCTCTGATCCTCATGTATAGTGATAGATAGATACAGAGTGTTTTATGTCCATGGAAAAAAACAGTGATCTTGAACTGAAGTACATACAGTAGTTGTCAGGGGAAGACTTTTATTGTGTTTTTTTGTGTTTCTTTCTCCTCAGCACCGGTGATCAGCATAACTGAGGCCGGCAGGGACACAGCTGAGAACGGACGTGAGCTCCACTCTGACTCTAAGGTGAGTCTATTTTGTCTTTGTTTGGAACTGTTTATATGTTTGTGTATCATAGAGAAAGATATTATGTACATGGGTGATGGCAAAAAAGTTTTTTCTAGCTGTGACATTTTTCGTGTGCATAGTATCTATAAGCTGTATCTAAGGTGATCTAAGTATGTATAAGCTTAATTTTGCATTCATGAGTCCTTAGTGTGTGTAGTATTCAATATTTTATTCATGATAACAACATGCATTTTTCCTGGGTTGGTGTACTAATATTATAAGGAGGAACCATGCAGCAGTATTACTGTGGACTAGTCCAGGACCACTAGGCAGTGACGGAGCAAGAATTGAAAACTTATATATATATAGTCATAAGCTTTATATCCTACTATGGTACCACGCATAGTACTGGGGCTTTTCAGAGGGTCACAGTGCTTTTGTCTGGATACTACCAAGACTTAAAATCACCTGTAGGTGTGGTTATGCTAATGCTATTTCTGTTGTCATAGGATCATTTAGACACTTAACTTTGCTTCCTCTAGGACCAGGAGGAAGCCACACTTTTGCACCCTTTAAGCTGTGAATATGTGTGTGAGTGAGAGAGGTACACAGACCAACAAGACTGACAGAGAAACAGTTAACATTTACTGCACCAGCTGGCCTTTAGAGCAGCTAACATTGGTAGCCAGGCAGGTGTACACGGTTCAACATCTCCTGACAAGCCTCTGCTGAGTGTCCTGTACCGTAGCAAGGATCTATGCCCACTGGTGGAACTGCACCCTGGGCCAGTCTGTGCTTGTTACTGGAGTGTGTATATAGAGAGTTTTGCTGTATGTTATGCATGCATCCCTTTCCCAACACCCTCCTCTCCTCACTTGTCCCCTTCCCAACTGTCGCTCACACCCCAGCACTGTGGAACTGACCCCCGTCTTAGCCTTCATTTAGTAGTGACCCCTGTTGACACTGTTTCTGCACACAGCGGTACTCTGCACAACCCTGCTATGTTCACTTTTAACCTATCTTTGGTGTGTTGTTCACTGACTAATGTTATGTCTCTTTCCCTCTCTCTTTTCTCCTTTACACGCTCCCCTCTTTTTTTGCTTTTATCACTCCCCTCTTGCATGTTCTCATTAATGTGATCATTTCATAAAAATGAAATGCACATTGTGTCGGTTGTTTTGGTTTTATGTTTAATTTATTTCTTCACTGCTTGCTCCCACACTTTGTGGATGTGTGCACGCGGGTCTCTCCTTTCTTTTCCCACACACTCCATCTCTCGCTGTCAACTTTTTTGTTTTCTCCTTTTTCTTTTGGTGTCCTTATTTTCCTCCCTTTGTCCCCTCTTCCCCTGCTTGTATGTTTGTGTGTACTCTCCTGAAACCCACCTCCATTAGTCAATCTTCATGTTTCCTCTCTCCTTCTCCTCATCATCTTCACTCTCCTCCATCCCCCCTTCCCTCGATTCTATCTCTGAGCTCGACCACGGCCTGTCAGACATTTCCGAAGACGACGACCTTATCGACAACACAGCCGCCCCACACACCACATGGACCCTCCACTCAAACGCCTCCTCTCCTTACTCTGATCAGCACCTGGTCGATCTTGAACACCTCGCGCAAAACCCCCTGGCCTCTTACCCAGTCACAAGCTCCCAAACATACAGTTCAGAGCTTTTGGGAGTTGAGGAGGGCTATCAGGCTAAAACCAGAGCGACAGATGGAATACCAAAATGGTGGAGCTGGTTCTCTCTAAGGGGTGTGGTTAAATGTGTCTCTTTCATCCTGTGTTTTCTCTCCCTATTGGGGAAGAATGGAAACAGGTGTCTGCCCATAAAGCTGTTTTCAGGATTAACAAAGAAACTGAGCTTTTTCACTCCCACTGTGTCCAAGCTTACTGGAGAGTCAGTGGGGAAATTAAAGATTTTCCCTGTCAGCGCCCCCAAATGTGTCACTTCCAATACGACGTCCAGATTACATCAAATTCTTCCTACTTTGGCATTAAGATGGAATCGTTTTGTGGCATTTATTACGAGCTATCTGCCTAATAAATGTATTAGTTTGGTACCTGCTGTTCTTTGCCACCCAACAAGGCTACATTTGCCCTCCATTCTCTCTCTTACCTGTCCTGCTATTGTCTCTCCCTTTTCCTCCCTCCCCCCTCTCTCTTCTCTGCCCTCTTATTTCTTTTTTGTCCAACCTTCCTTTCTCCCAACTCTCTCCTCCTTATCTCGCTCTAACCTAACCCCAGCTGTACATCGCTACCTTCTAAATCCCTCCCCACTGTTCCTGCCCTGCCTGTTAGTTGTTTTCCTATTGGTTGTGATGCTGACAGCGAGCCAGTCCTTGGTCTTGGCACTGATTTTAGCCACACCCCTTGGCCTGACCCTGTGCTACCTCGAGAATGTGGTTTCTAGTCAACGGAAGTTGGCAGTTTCGCCAATGTTTGTCACAGAAACGCCACAAGATCAGTCTGAGGATCAGTTAAGCTCTGGTTTTAACAAGCAGGCTTCTCCTCTCACACCGACACTCACACCCCCACGCGTCAGGCACCACACTCACACGAACGCTACCTGGATGCAAGAGATGTGCGACCCTGCTGCATAAATGCACACAACACACCCTACAAAACCCCTTCCACTCCTTCTCATGACCACTGTGTTTGAATGTGTGAACCGTATGTCTGTACATTCACCCCTGACCTCCACCACCTCCTTTCCCTAATATTTTCTTTTTTCTTACCATCCCTGCACCCTGTATTGTTTATAATAATGAGCAAATATAAGTATAAGTAAGATTAAACAAAGTATTTAAACCCAGAGTTGGTAAGTGATTAAAAAATGTTAAAATAGAGAAAATTATTGTTAATATAGAGAAAAGATAGCTATTTTAAGAGATTCAAATATTGTACAGTGACTGTTAGGGAAGGAGAGAGTTGCAGGATTTAACTTACAGTACAATGGCAAAATACAGTAACATTTAGTTATGTGCAGAACACATTTTGAGAGCTCTTTGAATTCTTAAAATTGTTAGTTGTCATGCTCAAAAAGGATTTACCTCCATGCTCTGTTTAACACTCATCAAATAAAGTGACAGAATGATATACATTCATAATATGTAAGACGAATAAGCACTTAAGAAATAATCACATTTTGTTTTTAGTTGTTGCATTTTGCCTTTGTAGTGCGGAGAAAGGTTGGCACTGAAAGATGAGTTGTAGATTAGCTGTTGAAACTGTTCATACAGATAAATAACCAGGATTGATGAAGTAACCCCTTCAACCCTATACCACTTAAAGCGCATTTGTTTGGGTATAATTGCTAATGAATGTTAAGAGTAAACAGTGTTACACTTACCCTGATCCCTGAGCCTAAGGACTGTCTCCTCAACCCCTGTCCCTTATTTTCTTTGTTTTAAGTCAAAGCAGTGGCCATTTAGCATTTTCTTGGATAAATGAAAGCTGTGGATTCAGATGGACATATGACATATTCTGCTCATTGCCAGAGCCCATAAGTCTACAGCAGTAAAAGCTGGCCTCTATTTATGTCCTAAAAACCTACACAGGAACCATAGTAGTTATTTTATTTGTTGTAAATACAGTAAATCTGACTTAGCTTTGGACACATTTTAAACACAGTGTTACAGATTTGTAAGTAAATGTATGTGTATCATATAAGTTAGGACGAGAGTAGGCAGTAGCACCTGCTGTTTCCCTTTATTGACCATCTGAAACTCCTTTCATATTACTACTCCTGTGGGTTTGGTGCAAAAGGTCACATGACCAGCAGTACTCCCTGACATCAAGGTTGCTGGGGAAGAACGTAGCTTTTCCCATCATCCATTTCACATTTTTCTTTCTTCGTGCCGTACCCTCCTCATTTTTGTCATGACTGCCACCGCTATGACTACGACACTGAAGGTTAAGGAGGCGGACTTAAGCCCTGGTGATGCGGAAGCCACGCCCACCCAGGTCTGTAGGGCCTGTCTTTACCCAGCATGCTTTGCAAATTCTTGGGCGAATAATGTAGGAGTAATAAATCATATTACTTTGCTAAGAACTAGTGTGAAGATGGTTTTGGATATTGGATGGAAATGGTTTTAGGGTGCAGTGGAGCAGTAAACCTAACCTGTCCTTACCTTTTCTCCCTAACTTTACCCAATCAGCAGTCTCTCGGAGCCAGTGAGCTTGCCCCCTCTCAGGTTCATACATTGTTATTGGTTATTTGATTTGTGTATTTGGTCTGTTAATCAATTGCCCGTGTTGGCTGGTTTGTTGGTTTGGTTCACTCTTTTAGGGTGAAGATGCCCTAGCATGATGATACAGAGTCAGTTTTTGAATTTCTCAGCTACTACAGATCCAATCTGGAATTTGTACGAACAGAACAATCTGAATATTTACATTATAAACAATTTATGGTATTTACTTATAAATTTGTCTCCGATTATACCCTTTCTTTCCAGATTGGGCCTGTGTGTAAAAACTGATCCTGAATGGGCACTTTCACCTCTAATCGTCACTTTTGGTTGCTCTGCTGTGGTTTATGGTTTCACAGTTTCAGTTTGGTTTCTGGTTCATATCTGTGGTTCATTATTTCTGGGTTTCGCTGGGTTTGTTGGTTTGTGTAAGCGTCTGCTGGTGTTGTGATGTTTTGAATGCTTTGAATTTTGTATGTGTTAACATGGGTACGAGTGCTAGCATCAGTACATTCAATGAGAAATACCAGAATGTTTTTAATCTGTGCTTGTACCCATCTTCCAGCCTTCATCACAGTTTGAGACATTATGGCCGTGTCACCACATGCCTGTGTTTTATTTTATTTTATTTTATTTATTTGATTATGATTTATTTCATAAGATGGTTATTATAATTTTTTTTGTAGAGTTAAAATAAAGTACTTTTTTTTAAGCTCTTTTTTAAAATTAATTTTCTCTATTTAATTTTTTGCTGTATGTCTGCCTTACAGAGTCCAATGAGAGTGCATGGGGACAATATTTATGTGAGGCACAGTAATTTAATGTTGGAGGTTGGTACTGGCGTCGTCTGATGGCTGAAAATAAGAACTACATGTTTCTGTATACTCTTGACGCCATCAGAACTACAACTTCCTCTGTACCGTACTGTACAAGACTGCTGCCCTCTCGCACTCTCAGGCTCTGTGTGCATGCCTGTGTGTGTTTATGTGTGTGGATGTTTTCAGTTTCCAGTTTTTCCTTAGTAACTATAGTATGATTGAAAATGTTTTGGTATTAAATGGTTTCAGTGCTAATTGTCCCAATTCACATGGCAGCCATTTTGAACACATGGGCTAGGAAGCTTGACTGAGAACATTGTCATAAATGTTAATTAAAGCTGTACTTACCTTTTATATCAACAGTTAATCAAATGAGCATGGACAATTTTAAAGTTGCTCGCAGTCAGTTATTAACTGATTACACTGTTCTACAGAGTGTTCTAGCCTCTTTCAGCAGATTGTTTTGGTTTGGTTGCAACTTTACTTTTTTATTCAATTTTTTTATGTCTCGTCAGCCTAAATTCCAGCTTTTCAGCACCTAAGCTTTGATAAACGCCCTGTCCGCTTCCTGTCCAGCACCAAACTGCAGACAGGATGCAAAGGTGGCAACTAGCAGAGAGGAGCATTTAGATAAAAATCCAGGTATTTCCCTCAGAAAAAAATAGAACAAAAAAACACATTAATAAGAAGGTCTGCTACCCTTATAGTTGCTCAGCAGCAACTCTAGGAATGACAGACTCCTTTAACTGAGCAGATAAGGAACGTTAACTGGAGGTTACACATATACACAGTGTTTCCCAGATCAAATCCAAAGTGAGTGTACCAGAATGGATGTAAGATGTTTTCAGTGCTGGATCTATGAAATGCAAAATATTTATTTGATGTGTATCTTGCTGCACAGCAGTACAGTAGAGACTTTCTCTTCCAGGAAATTTCCCAGGCTGAGTGTTCACAATGGCTGCTTTGTGAATAGGGTCAGTGGTGTGTGAACGTGACTTTTACGCATGCTCTGTGCATGTTGACTGCTGATTTGTGACCTTTTTTATGTTGTTACGTTTCCAATCCTTGATTTATCAAAGTTTGATTATTGCCAGGCAGCTGCGTTTAACCTGACTAATCCTGTCTCCCTAACACACACAAGGAGCTTTCTTCCTGTTTTCTGGTGATTGGCTGCCAGCGTCAAGTGATGCGTGGTTTGATAACATACTAAAACACATCTTTTTTTATGCAACGTGGGACTGATAGTGATGCATTGCCAGCTATTACCTGTAGCATTACAGTAGTCTACATAGCGTAATTGTAACAAAGATAGGTGGAGTTGAAATGGAAAGACAGACTGATAAAATGGGAAAGAAAAGGACAGAAAGTGTGATCACCACTATCAGCTCCATGTTCTGCAGTCTGCACTGCTGTTCCTGGCCTGGTTTAAGGAAAACTCCTCAACAAAATGGAAAGGCCATATTTCACTGCAGCCTGCTTAAAAACACAAAAATACTCTCACTCTCTCTCTGTCTCTCTTATATACACACACACACACACACACACACGCTCGGACCAAATGCCAAATTTGAGATTCCAGACCTTTTGAATGAGGCTCCAGTGAGACATGGCATCCATCTTGTCTTCTTCCTGATTGACAGACTAATGTTCCTATGACCTGCTGAACAGAATTTTTCCCCTGCCTCCCCACCCATTTCTCCTTTTATCCTCCCACCTTCCCTCTCACCTTCCCTTCCTTCCTTCTCTTTTCCTTATTCTTTTTCCCATTACATTTCTGTATCTCTTATCCCTCCTCTTAACCTCTCTTTTATCAATCCTTCATTTTTCTTCCTCCTACCCTTTTCTTTTTCTTTCTTCTACCATGTTTCTACCTTCTTGCCATTTCCACCTCCACATTTTTACCCCACCCCTCTTGTCCCTACCACCCATCATCCCTTATCTATCCATACTTATCTCATTTACTTTCAACCCCACCCTCCCCCTTCTTCCCTTCCTCTCCTCTCCCCTCCACTCCCTCAATAGGACCATGATAAGACCCAAGAAGAAGTTCTGAAACATCAAGCTAGCATTAGCCAGCTAAAACGCTCCTTTATGGAGGCGCCACCTCCCTCTCCTCCTCAGCCCAACCAGTGGGAGAAACGTCTCACCTCCTCTCCCGCTACAACGATACGTATTCAACAGCAACAAGTGGTACGTCTGTCTGGATGTTTCTGTGTCAGCAACTTGAAAAAAGAAGGTTGAATTACGGGGCATTTTACCTACAAACGTTGTTCTGGGGAAATGCCCTCTTTGCAGATAGTTGCAGTGCTTAAAAACTGTTTTATACAATTTGCTGCAGAAACAACAATGTGTTTGTAGTAGCAAGTCATCACGTGTGTGCACCTGATTTAAACTCAAACTCCTCTCTTACTCTTACGTGGGCACTTTCATGTGATGCTTTTGCCATGGTGGGGTTTTAGCTCCCTCATCATTTGATGGACTGTATGGGGTTGTCTGTGTTTCTCTGCTCCAATTCTTAATCCCCTTTCAGCTGGACTCACATCACATTTTACATCATGTACAGTTTTCTGCAGCAGAAGGGTTTTATTTGGTCTATGATGCAGTATTTTGCTGGTTTCTGATCTCCTAAACAAATCTGTTTCATTATGTTCTGGTTAATATAATCATTACAGGAGGTGGAGATGCAAATAAGGACTGTTCTTCATTTAATTTGTGTCAACGCTGTGTTTTGTTCTTTGAGGGAATTATTTTCTCTAAGTCTTCTCTCAACTGTTCCCATCTTTTCTCTTCTTCTCTGTATTCTGGGTTCTCTTTGTGTCTGTGTGTTGCTGTAGAGCCTTGAAGAGGAGATAGCTTCTGTACTTTTCAGTAGACACTCTGCCACTGGCTTTTGTTCGGCTGCTACGTTTGCCTGCAGTATTCCTGAACCAACACTAGATGCTGTTATAACCACATGCTCCTCTACTTCCACTGCTGTCTGCAGTCCTGCTGTACCGCATGGGCTCCTTATTTCCCCAACTGCTACTCTCTCTGCAACTGAGGTGCTGCTACTACTACTGATTTAGGTGTCAGTTCACTTTCAATTCCAATTTGCATTTGCAGACTTATTGAATAACCAGTGCTGTTACCCAATAAATACAGAATACAGAGAACTTTCTGTAGAGACTTTGTCCCTCTATAAGTTGGTCAACTTGAAAGTAAACTGACATTTATTTTTATGTTACCTTTCATTAACCAGATAAGTCAATTGAGAACCAATTCTCATTTACAATGATGACCTGGGCAAGAGGTCATCTTTAATTAACAGAGCATTACATCCTGCAATGCCTCACTTAATTAAAGATGCTTGCCAGATGTGTTTATAACCTACACTGAAGCGATGCGAGCTGTCCATAATGCCTGCTGTGGAAGCTGGATGAATGGCAGTAATTGTTGTTTTGTATCAGGGAGCATTCATCCTGAATGATGGCAATGGTAAATCTAATCTAAAAACAACTAACAGCTGTGAATGCCACAGATATCATCTGTTTGTTTTGTGATGGTAAACGTGTGTGTGGATTTGAATGCAAATGTAACGGTCTGCCCTTTAAAAAGCAGCAAGTATTAAAGCAGCAGTTTGCATCACAGTTAAAACAACCAAGGAAAGCCATAATGTGTTGACTTTGTTACATAAGCTTTTAAGTCTGGACGTTAGGCTAAATTCATTATGCTATGCTATGTTTTATGTGGTCAACAATTCAAAGAAACTGCTGACTTTAATACCATGCTTCTTTTATCTTTTTATTTCAAAAGACAATGATATGGTATTTTCTTGAATCCATCTTCCATGGAATTTTTTCATCTTCTATTCTTCTTTCAACTCTTTCATCCCATCTCTGTTACTGCCTGCTGCAGTTAACTGGATGCTGAATGAAAATGATTGTGCATGAAAGACAGTCCACCAGGGAGAAAAAAAAAACAAGTAACAAATTCAACCCTTTCCCTTGTGCCGTGGTAACAAGCATCACAATAACACTACGGTGTCATTAAGTGCAAATAATCATGATGTCACTGCTGGTGTGTGATTGATGATTGTCATGGTAACTTCTCTGTTACGCAGGTGAATGAGCCCCAGACAGAAGCAGCCACCGATGATAACGCGATCTCTGATACCAAAGAACCTGCAAAGGTGGTCCTAACATCCTTCTGTTAATCCATCCAGATCTTCAATTCATGACGCTTTTCATTCAGTGTTTCCTTCATCTCTCCAGCTTCCTGTGCTTTACAGGCCTCTGTTCTTTGACTATTCATTTGTCTGTCTTCCTAGTTGTTCCACTTAAATACATCATTGTGCCTCTCAGCTGAACATCTTCATCTTTGTATTCCAGATTTGTGTCATGTATTAATTTATTTTCATTTAAGGTAGTGATTTATTTATTTATGTTCAATGATCATGTTATGCTTTTTTTTTTTTGTCCCCATGCGTTTGTTGTGTATGTGTGTGCACCTCATCGTGTGTGTCTGTGCACTATGTGTACATGCGTGTGTGTGTATGTGCGTGTGTATATAGACAACCGAAGTTGAAATTGAAGAAACCGTTGTCGTCCAAGAGGTTTCCAAAGCACCCAAACCTGGACTTGTCACAGTTACAATCAGCTCCCCTGTAGAGCAGGAAACAAGGGAGCAGGAAGTGAAAGTCGAAGAGAAAGTAGAGGTGGCAGAGGAAGCAAAAGCAGCAAAGCAAGAGAGCATCTCATCTGAGAGTGAGAGTGAAGAAGAAGCGGAGTACCATCCAAATGTCTCCATATCCATCTCTCACACACAAATACCAGAAGAGAAAGAAGAAGATGAAGAGAAGGAAAAGAAAGAGGATAAGACGGTGGAGCATGACGCGCCTGCTACAGAAGCTCCTTCTCTTCCAGCTGAAATCAGCCAACCCATAGAGGCAACCATTCAAGAGGGAGAGGAGTCTAGGAAAGTGGATGCAGGGGCAGACAAGAAGAACGCAGAGGAGCAGAATGATGGCGAAAGGGAGACGGAGGAAAGCACCGATGATCCGATGATAACACCCGATGAAGCTCCTAATGGTTTCACCCTGCCTGAGGAAAGCGTGACTGGGATGGCTCCCCCTGAAGAGGAAGAGCCTAAAATGAACGGAGAGGCCTCTTTGGTTGAAGCAGAACCACGGCCGCAGGTTATTTGTTGCTCTGAGGTAAAGTCTTCACTGGGCCGACTGCGGAGCTTCCCTGGGCTTTGATCCTTCCCGCCAACTGTAGAAACACCCACTTTTTTCCTTCCTGCTTACCACAGTGCCGGTTTCCTTCCTGCTTGCGTGAATAATAAAGCCCCATGTACATCCTCACACTCATCTTTCTCCTGTGAACACTCTTTTCAAGCTTAAAATGAAAGCTAAACCTAAAATGAGTCCTTCAGTGATACAATTCACCATCACAGTGTTTTGGTGTTGGTGTCAAATTACCATCCACATATATAATTCACTTCAGTCTTTATTTTGATTTTTCACCATATTCATATATGTTAATGTATGTGCTATATGCAATCATACTTCATACCATTATCAGTATGCCTAGTTCACTCCTGCCCCACATAGCGTGGTGTGTTGCTGTTACTACCTCCTACTCTGTATTGTAGTGTTGTGAAGTAAATAGGGCCTAAGTGGAAAATGCATGATGCTTTTAGGTGTATATTTGTTTTTTTGCTCTGCATGCCATATTTCACCTTTTGGTGTGTGAGTTTGTGTGTCCTCCATGTGTTTGGCAGTGATGCTTCTCTCTCTGTTAGCATTCAGTTGGCGTGTCCTGGTCACTATGGTAACAGCATTTTGGAAATCATCATTGCCAACCACTTTGGAAATGCCAGCCTCTCATCTGAATGTCATCTTTGCATGCTGTTTACATATCATCTGCCATTTTGTTCACGTGTCATTTGAGCATTGCTTGTTTTATTGGCTTGTGTGTTATGCATGTTTTCGTGCTGTGTCGTACTTTGAGTTGCACGTTGACACCAAAGTGGTTTCCGTAGCTGTGTCGCTGTCGTAGCTGTTGCTTGTACGTTGCTGAAAGTAGTCGTTGTGATGTTTTGTGTTTTGTTGACTCGCATGAGTTTGGAAGATCTTTGATTTTTTGCTGTACATATTGTGTTTATACATCTTCAACTGCTGCTATGTGTACCACTGTGTGTGCAACAACTGCATCACTTCTCTTTCAGTACAACACATTCTTATGTTATTGCCATTAATTTAATAATAATTAAGCACATGTTCACATTTATATTTTATACACATTTTTTACACATTAAAATATTAACTGTGAGGTGTTTTTCCAAAGCTAGTGCATAGATACCAACATGTTTCTTTATTTTTCCCCTAACTATTTCTGTATTAATGTATTAACCCTCTTTTCCTTCCCCTCACTTCTCTCTCTCCTCCCTCCCCAGCCACCTGTGGTAAAGACAGAAATGGTGACTATATCAGACACGTTTGCAGCCCAGAAAACTGAGATAGCCACAAAAGAAGTTCCCATCGTACATACGGAAACCAAGACCATCACATACGAAGCCGCACAGGTGCACACAAACACAGGGAGCTTTTTTTTTTTTTTTTTTGTCCAGCATTCAAATTGTATTTGTGTGAAACTATTAGATTGTAGCATTGTTGTTGTTGTTGTTAGGTTGTTAGTGTTAAAGTCTGTTCGAAAGCACATTCCAAGAAGCTCCCTTTCTAGCAACAGTGCATGCTGCCGCGATTCATTCCTTCTCCCTCAGGGAAATCATGTTATTAAAAGAACTAAGTTGGTGACAAGAGTTTATTTAGAACATCAACCAGCCAGCGGGGATATTCTCGTGGTAATGTACAGCTAATTTGATTTCTGTTTGTCTCCTCTGTTATCAGTTGGATGGTAATGGTGATGGCGAACCTGGAGTGTTGATGACTGCTCAGACAATCACCTCTGAATCTCTGTGTACTACTACAACCACACACATTACCAAGGTACAGACACCCACAAACACACACACATCCTCTTCTTGTTGTAATGTAATGTAACTACCATACACATTGATGTATACAGTCTGTGCACACAGAAACGCATTTCTTTTTTTTTTATATTTGTACTAGTATCACACATTTTATTGTTTATGTACTGTATTGGGTTGCCAGTATTAGTTCTTTGTACTAGAACCCTGGTGGGGCCTTGATCATTTAATGAACCCATTATAACAGGCATCAAAGCATTGTTGTTGTATATCTCTTTTGTAGACGTTAAAAGGTGGCCTATCGGAGACGAGGATTGAGAAACGCATCGTCATTACTGGCGACTGTGACATCGACCACGATGAGGTCAGTTTTCCATGGCTTATCCCTTCGCCTTATGTGTCTCAGTAGCTTGTCGGACGAGTTGCTCTGTTCTGGGTTGTTTCAATCTATTATTTTGCAGACATGTAATGCAGTTGCACAAGTCAGAATGTTCCACCTTTCTACATTTTGTATTTTTAATTGAAAAACCCTGCTTGGGAAATCGCAAAATCTTCAGCCCCTGCTTACTTTCATTTAGGTTTTTTTTTCTGGTTCTTTAAACTTAAGGGAACAAATAGACGTCTGGTGACATGTCTGTCATGCTGCTCGCAGTCTGAATGCACAATTTCTTCTGTTAATCACTTATTAGAGATGCCCACATGCTATTAGTCCCACTCAGATCCCTACAGATCTGCTACATCTGTCTCTTCACTTACTCATCCATACATCTAGAGAATGGTGTCTTAACCTGTTTTTGTTTTCGCTATGCTGTGTCTGATTTTGTTGCTCGTCTTGGTTAGCTTAATTTTACGTCTTTGTCTTTGATTGTCACATTTCCATAGAAAATCAAATTTCTACTTTTTGATGCCCTGGATGTGATGGATATAACATGCTACACTGAGGATATCACATCTGAGTTAGGGCAGTCCAACTGTACTTGGACAATGCCACTGACCTTTTTTTGTTGTTTGTTCTGTAAACAAGCATATTGGATTTTAAATTTGAGAAAGTAAACCCAAGGTTAAAGTGCATATTTGAAGGATCTTTACTTCCTGATGATTTCCAGAAGGCCAGAAGAAAGGTCCAGTCAACTTTGATCCCCTAAAATTGGCAAACTTTTAGTCTCCCAGTCCCCCAATTTTAGGGGATCAAGATAACTGGACCTTTCTGCCAGGCCTCTTTGCAACCATCATCATGTATGCATTGTCTTAAAACTGGGAGAGTAGATATAAAACACTCTAAAAACAATATTAAAAACTTTCATTGTCCATATACATGAAGACTGATCTGTAAAATTTGATTTATAGACCCTGGTCTATAATTGTTTGAAGACCTGATCTGGTCTGGATCTTTATGCACAATCCCTCGTCCATTGGTTTGTTTAAGTTGACCGTCTTGTTCAATTCGCTGGATTTACACTAGAGCAAAAGATTTGTGTCACATTGAGTTGGAAATCCACTTGATGTGTCTGCTCCATCTGAAGCCATTTTACTTCAACCACTTTATCCCCCAGTTAACCCAAAGAAGTAAAATAGCATATTGATTGTAAATCCAGCATTGTTGTCATTTTCTTTATGCTTCTTATTTGATTTTTCATTTAACTCCACCATTTCCCCCCTCCCCCTTCCTCTCCTTCCTCCACCTCCCCCACTGCCTGCTGTGCTCGGTGCTGCCACTGTGTGGTTGCCCCTCTGTACTGCAGGCTCTGGCCCAGGCCATTAAGGAGGCCAAAGAGCAACATCCTGACATGTCTGTTACCAGAGTGGTGGTTCATAAAGAAACTGAACTGGCTGAGGAGGAGGATTGACTGAACTCAGGTAATAATAATAATAGTAACGCTTTATTATTATTATTATTCATGGTGAAAGTGCTTTATTGACAGTGGGGGTGCATAGAGTGGTCATTATTTACAACAACAAAAAAGAAAATCAATGAAATAAAAACTTCCACATGTGAAGGTGATAAACCCATCAGCCATCATCAAGGAATATTAGGAAGGTAGGCAGTGACTGATGGAGGTCTGTGTGTGGAGTACAAAGGAAATATTTCGAGTAGGTAACAAATGTTGAGTGCCAGTCATCACACCAACCCAGGCTGATTGCCTTCACCTCTATGTCCCCAGAGCTGAAGGGCCCATCGTGACTGTTTTCTCTTTTGACGTTGAACGACCTCCATCACCCTACGACGACCAACCTAGACTGACTGAAGAGGAGGAGAAGGAGGAGAAATGGAGCTGAAAAACAGGAGGGGAAAGGGTAGACGAATGGAGAGAAGTTGCCAATCTCTTCCCAGTCGGCCTCTCTCACATGTCTGTGGTGCATCTAAATCCCTCACTCCAAAACCATGAAAAAGAAAAATAATATCCTCACTCTTTTCTGAGGGAACAAAAAAGAACCACTTTGTTAGCTTAACAATTGTAGCGTGTTTTTATTTTTAATAGTACTTTTTTTTTTTCTTTAACTGTTTGTTTTACAAAAAGAGACAAGATAGTATCTGTCATGCATTGCAAAAATAAAAGCTGTAGGGATGCACTGAAAACCAATCCTGATGAGATACAATGCTAAAAAAGGATTATTGTATCATTCTACTGATTATTTCACCAGTAAAAGTGACCTTCAGTTACACTGAAAAGTCAAAGCAAATACTGCTTCTCTTCATACGTAAAAAGATACGGTCGATTTCTCATACAGAAGGTTTCTCTTAAGTGACTAAAATGACACTGAAATGTTGTACTTGGAATTGGTATCTGCAGTAGAAAAGCGGTATTGGTGCATTCCTAAAACAACAAAAAAAAGAAGTAATTTATTAAATTACAGCTCCCTCCCTCAGTTCATTATGATTTAAATGGAGAGTAACATATAACACAGTAATTTCAACATTTTTACAGTAACAAGCAGCACTGCAGGAAACCGGGAGACACTTCTGACCTTCACAGTCGGATGAATGGTGGAGCCAGCTGTGTCACATTATCACATTTTGTTACTAATGATTACAGAAAACAGGGAGCTGTAACTTAAAATATTGCAGTAAGAAAGCAATCAACCAGGTTTATGAATTTTTATGATTCTGTCTTTTTTTTCTCTGTAAGTATAGTTAATATTCATCCACATTCCTTGTGTGTGACTAGCGGCTGAGTGAGTTTCATGTTCAGTTCAATTCACTTTTTACTCTAAGAAGAGAAGGCATTTTACTATTTACAGTAGGTGGGGATGAAAGGAATCTTAATGGGGTCAGTGACATTAATTAAGCTCCAGAAGCCAAATGATGCAGGTGGAATTAATTCCTTGTGATATATTTGTAGCTTTTACTGTATTTTGAGTTTTTACTACATGGAAATTGAACTGAAAATGAACTGACTTTAAAGTTGATGTATACAACTTTCTGTACAGTAAAAATGAAGGTTATTAGATGGGAGCAGTAATGCGGCTTTTCATTAGCTAAACGCTCTCCCTGGGCCCGCCCACTGTATGACACTAGCCATTCCTATTGGGCCACAGGGAAGCAAGGGAGCAGACTTTTTGATTGGGAGAGAAGACCAGTAAACTGAATGATAATTGGGAGACAGAGGTGGCGCTCTGCGGTGCCAACTAACAACTTTGGAGTGAAAAAGGTTTTGAACATTGATGCTTGTTGGCCTTAATATACGGCATGGGCAAGTTTCACTCCTTTAATTTTACATCCTGCAGTCAGTTAAAGACGTTTTAATATTCTGAGGACAATGCTATTGAAAAAAGAGTTGTGTTACAACCAGCACAGGTACCAGAATAAGGACATACAGTCGGAAACAGCTTGAAACCAGAATTCAGATTAATGGAATTTCTTCCAGTTTGCTAACTCTGCATCAGCCTGTGTGTCGTCGTAGTTCAGCTTCGTTTCATTTCCAGACTAGATGATACAGACGAAACCTGCTAGATATGACGAGATCTGGGATTAAATTCAGCATGTCTTCACACAGTTTTATCTTGGAAGAGTATTTTGAGCGAGTCTAGATAGAAGGCTACTGTGTTGATTGGTTTGAGAGTGTGTAGATAACAGATAATCTCGGCTCATACAGTACGTCTAGAGAAGGTTGTCTCTGGTCTTATGCTGGCTGTGTTGCAACTGTTTCAACGCCACCAAATATTCTTCGGCATTACCACACAAAAAACATAAAACTCTGAATCTGACAGTACACTACAAACCGACATTGAAACAGTTACAACATAACGGTAAAATGCAGCTTAAAGGGAAGTGTATCCGAGGGTTTGAAGTGCTCTTGAAACCCCTAAAGGACATAATGTTTTATTCATTTTCTGTGTTTACCCAAATGTTCAGCAGAACTCCACAAAAATGTGACTGTGTGTAAATATCGGTGGCATTAGATGGATTAGATCAAGGTGTTTGGTCTAATGCATTTAGTTGACACAGAAAACAAAACAAAAAACACCTATTACTGGAAATTCAACTGATTGTAAGCAAAGAAGTGCCACAGATGAATATAAAAACATTCCACCTGTACCTGCCTAGATTAGTCTGATCCCTCCAGTATGACTGAAGTCAACAGAATGATTTATAGAAGGAGCGATGATGACTGTCTAGGCTTTTTTTTATTGGGAAACACTGGTCTGACCTCTACTATGCAGATAAATTACATTCCAGATGAGGGGGAAGCTTTAACCTCTAACCCTCTTGCAAAGAGACAAAGCAGGACAAAAAAAAAAAAGCATTTAAAAAATACAAACCGTGCACGACTAGGCAGCTTTGGAGGCTTTCGCTGTTCCAAAAAAACGTAATACAATCTTTTAAAAAGCATCGGTTATATCACAACAGCTATATTTGTAGATTTGCTCAGAATTTGTTGTCTTTTCTCTGTGATCTAGTTGTTGAAAGGCAGGATTTATTGTGTGCCCTGTTGCATATTTTAATATTGTCACAGTGTTTTTTGACATTGATGGATCACCACTACAAATCAAAATTTCTGCCACCATTTTCTTTTTTTGTACTTGTATCCCCCAGGTGTAACCTCTTCCCGGGGGCTCTGGGCTCTGTTTTAACCAATCACAGGAGCTTTGGGGGGACTGCAAGGTCTGGTTTTCCAAAAAAAAATATTTATTTGAGTTTACTCAATCACAAATTATATGTCTTGCCATCAGCAACTTTTAAGAAAATAACCCCAGCACAAACAGAGTTGGATTGTTGTTCTGTGGTTACCACGACAACTCCATAATGTACTCATAGCAACTGATGATGATTCTACGCCAGCGGAGTTTAAAACTGTCAGGGATCTCAACATGGCAACATTATGGAGGGCAGCAGTACACAGAAAAAGCAACAAATTAAATAAAAATACTGCCATTAGATTCAATCTAATTCATACAGTAACATCTCTTTCTATATGAGGCTGATGAGATTATAATTGGACTACATGCGTTACAGTTGTATCTCAGGCTTTGTACCACACTTGGGACATATTTGGAATTAATACCAGCACAATTTTGTATTTTAATGTTTAAAAATTCACTTGCAACAGAACTTTGTAAACAGCTTTTGGAAAACCAGCCACAGCTGCCTCATCGTTCCCTCCACCAATGATCACCAGTAGGGTTTTTCTATCTAGCAGCTTAATTGTCTTGTGTCTCCCCACACGCAGCCACTCCTCCCCTGTGTAACACTGTTTAAATAAAGGATTGTTATACTCTGAAATCTGTTTGTTGTTGTCATTTATTCATTCACTGTTTTAAGCTTCAGTCTCTTGTACCTTCTGGCATGAAATGTAAACTATTGTACAATTACTAGCAGATAGGAAATGAATAACAATATGAGGATGAGTAATAAATTAAATACAGCTCTAAAAGATGCTTTTAGCTTCATAATATCAGTCTCTTATTTCCACATATCTTCTATGACAATGAGTATCTTTAAAGGCTTCTACATTCATCTTCTTAAAGCACCTTCATTAGATCCCTCCCAGGGCCTTGCTGGTGTTTCCATTATGTCCCATTGCTCTGTAAAGATACTCATGCTGAGTGGAAACCATCAGTAAGTGTCCATATGAACAGGTTTAAAGTGTCGGTCCTGCCAGGTTGTGAGTGCTACCCAACGCTTCTTCTCCTCTGATGTGTACTTCTGTGTATGTGCCTGTAGATGGCGCGTCCGTCTCGTGGAAACCCCGACAGATCAGCGTCAACTGGATGAAAGCAGAAAGTAAACACAGAGCAATGTTTAAAACGTAGCGCAGATGATGGTATTCTGTCTTTGGTATGTTGCACTTTTACCAACTAACTCAAACTTTTTTAGTGACTGATGAGGAATGATTTCGGTGGCCATTGTCACAATATATAAGCAGCCATATGTCTATAATTGGTTTTAATTAGCTACCTAGGTAAGCCCTTCATTAAACATGAACGATTCCGTTGCGCATGCGCACTCGGCTCGGTCGTGATCGCTACAGGTGAGACAGGTAACAAAATATCTTTAGTTTAACTTTTTTTTTTTTTTAATGTAGCTTAAAGTAAATTACAGGAATGTTTCCTCTGTTTGAAAGCGACCACAGAAGCTCAACCTAGCTACTTTAAATATGCTAAAGCACTGATAGCAGACTCCCACTTTGCTAACACTTAACAGTAAGCTAGCTCATTTAATGCAACTACTTGAAACATTATTCAGTATAATAATTCATATTTAGTTTCTAGTCAGTTGTTTTTAACTTTGTATAGCTTACTGATATGATGCTGGTCACTTCCTGTTGTTGTTTATTGTTTATTAGAAACCTGACTGGCTTTAATGGTTTATAAGCTGTAGATTTGGCCCTGTGGTTTGGTGAAGGCTGGATGTCTCCTGGGGAAGAAGCAGCTAGGAGGACCACCACATTACTGAGTGAGTTTATACTGAAAGTGCTGTACCGCACTGTGGTAGTGAACAGTGACCTACTTCAAATACAACTCTAGCATCTGCCTAGTGGTTTAATCACTAGAGGACAGATGCAGACAGAAGAAGTAAAACACTGAACTAAAAATGAAAAGTTTATTTAATTTGAGTACCAGTGACAAACAGTAAACGGCAGGTGTGAAATTGTTGTAATTGATTATAATTGGCCTCAGAATAAACAGCAGATAACACACACACACACACACACACACACACACACACACACATACACAAACAAACTAGCTTTTCTACAGTACTTTGATTCAAGAAGAAGTAAATCAGGTCACCAAGAATAGTTTATTTTTGCAAAGTGCTAACAATGTATGTGGGAACTCAAATGAACTAGTGTCCATGTTCGTTCATGGTAATGAGTCAACACGCTACCCAACAGTGTGGCTTATTGGTGTGTTTCTAATAGTGTGTGGACAACAATGGAGGTCTGTGATAGAAAGGAATGAGATACGCAGACAGTACTTGTTAGTCGGATCAGTTTATCGTTTGTTTCAGTATTTTAACGAGATTCCTAGACAGAATCAAAGATATCTAATATCACCAGACTAACAGTCTTTTAAGTTTGTATTTAAATTGCCAGCAATCTAAGTTGTAGTCACCAGGAACACACCCACCCTTTATTAAGATGGCTGCACACAACAGACATGAGGCCAATCTGGGTACTGAAATTGGTCAGGCTAATCTTCACTTCACACCAGCGAGAGTGGGAGCAGATGATGAAAGGCGACCCGTGATCTTTGCTGGATGTGTCTGTGTGTGTGTGTGTGTGTGTGTGTGTGTGTGTGTGTGTGTGTGTGTTTGTGTGTGTGTGTCTGTATTTTATGTCAAAGCAAAGCACAAAGGGGTCAGGTTCACCTATCAAAACAACACTTGTTACCAGAGCACACACACAGAGATAAAAAAAAAATGTTTCCATGCTTTGAGGACATTAAAACCTGCTGTTGTCTTCTCTAACACACACTTACGCACTCTACGACATAAACACACACAGACACAAACCAGGACGGTGTAACTAATCGTCTCAATGATCGTTATCTTCACAGCCAAGTTTTGATTCGTCCTGAAAATGTCTCTTTGCAATGTTTTTTTTTCTTTTCTTGAACCTATTTTAGATCTTTTTCATTATTTAGAGTAGCTTAGCTTCAGGGCCCCCAGACATTTATTCTATTTGAGCGGCAGGAGCTGTCAGGTCTTGTTCAAAGGACAATTTGAATATAAGACTCCTACTGTGTTTGCAGATACAATGGTTGCACTTCATGTTTTATTTTGTTGTGGAATTTGTGGAAGTATGAAATGAGAATATTTTATTGACATTGGATAAAAAGTGTGTAACTATAGAGACGAGCAGTAAAATCTCCTTCGAGTGCATTTTTATGCAGCAATCCTTATGTGGTGATGATTGTATGTATTTATAGTATGTGTGACGTGTGAAGAGAGGCATCTCCCTTCAGTAACCCTCTAGTTACACAGCACCACAGTAAATATAACATAACACAAGGTCTGGACATGGGCTCTTCATGAAAAGTTAATAACATGCCTACCCTGTCTGAGTTTCCAGCTGAGGTAGATAATCAGTTGCAGCAGCAGCAGACAGACGGACAGGAACAGCAGTAGGCCGAACAACCAAAGAGGAACAAAGCTGTCTGTGTCTGTGTCTGTCTGTGTGATGGTCTGTCGAAGGAGCAGAGCCAGATCTGCCCATGGGCCGCTCAGCACCTCCATGCTGCTCCTGCTTGGGGGGGCAAATAGAGAGGAGAGGAAAGACCTGACTGAGACATGATCGGATAACTACAAAGGACAAGACAAAACAAATAGGCACCAAGATTAAAACAGGGCTAAAAATGATTGAAAACTTCTATGTGACACTTCTTTTAATAGCACATAAGATACTGTATTTTAAAGTGAGGGACGTCCTACCTACATGTTGAGCTACAGTAGTTAAAAAGGTCAGTAGGGTGGGAGTAAGTCCTTTTAAGTTACCTCAGTAAAGTAAACTACAAAGAATTTATAATAATATACTGTAGGAAGAGCTTACTAAGTATAACACATAACACATCTTTTTTTTAAATGTGGTATTTTAAGGAATGCATTTTAATAAATTTGATGTTATTATGTGGTTTTCCATGTATGAAACATATTGTGATGTTGATTTTTATCTTGATATTCACTTCAACCCAATCATCCAGCCCTGTTTCAAACAGCAAGTCAAATTTTGAGGACACAGTGCTGTTATAGTGGTTGTTGTAGTGTTTGTTAATGGTAAAGTCATAGCTTAGCCTGTGAGATTCATACACATGTATGAATACAAAGAAATAAATAATAAAATAAAAAATGTCTTCATACAAGCCACCAAAGTAAAAAAATATTATAAAAAGAGTATATGCAGAGAAATAATAATATAGAAAACACAAAAAGAATCACACTGCTAAAGGTTCCCACAACAGTTACCGGGAAACTGTATTTATTAACACGTGCAGCATCATATCATTAGTATATTATTATAAGATCTACTTACAGTTTTCAGGTTCCACACAACGGCAGGTTTGAATTGCTGTAGGTGGAAGTGAGTTGCAGATGGCTGCCAGATATTATCAGTGAGCTAATACATCCATGTCCTGACAGTTGTCCTTAATGATGTAAAGTTGTCTCCAGTAGCCAGGATTTGAGGGGAGGTCAAAGGTGACGTTTTGGCAATGGCAGTCACATAATTTAAAGAGTTAGAAGTTCGATTTTAAAATTCAGACAGTGTCACATCAGGTTTCACTGCAGAGCTTAGGGACATAATCCACAGAATAGTTCCACAGGGAGAAAAAGCTGGTCTAGAGGTAAAAGTTGTGACGTTGTTGTTGTCTCTTCTTTTATATCTGTGTATATCTGTCTCTCTAGGTTTTCTTTTTATCCCCGTCTCTCCCTATCTCTCTCTCTCTCTCTCTCTCTCTCTCTCTCGTTGATAGGAATACCACCTCAGTTGTTGTTGACGGTGTGAACTTTGTTCTGTTCCAGCAGTTGAACCTTGTGATTGCTAAGAAGATTAGCTATACTGGCCAGGCCTATGTGTATGTGAGTATGTGTGTGTGAGATACAGTACAATATGGAGTGTAGTGTTTCTACGTGTCCTCAGAATATGAAAATGGGGAAAAAACAGATACTTTTTCATGTTTTTGCGTGTGTGTTTCTGTGTCTCTATGTGTATGCATTGGTGCCTGGAGTAATGTTTTGATCATTGGACCTTAGACCTTTGTGCTCACTGTCATAAAACACACTCTACTCAGTGACACACGCGCTTTCTTCAGCTGCTCCCTCTCTGATTGGAAAGAGGTTTCTAATTCGTCTTATCTCCTTTCTTTTGTTCATACTCTCTCTGTGTCTGTTTATCTTCACCAACAGACACTGTTACCATTTTGATTGCCGGCAGTATTGATTACTTTAAAATGGAACTGACAGCATCAACCTTGACTGTATTGTTACAACAAAGTGAGGGGAGACAACAATCAGTTTACAGCTGGAGATTAAATTCAGACTGTAGTGAAACACCCCGTTGGAAGGACACACGTCTTTGTTTTTAGTTTGGTAAACACATAATCTCTATGAACAGATATCTGCATATGAAAGGCAGAATCTGTAGGCAAGGGACAAGATGTTGGTATCGGAAGCTTTCTGATTCCTGTTTGATTGTGGTCTGCGTTGTACTGACCAATCACATTTGAGTGGGCTTTGATTGCATGCAGGTAAACAGTCTGCACGGAGAGCAAAACGCATTGGCTGAATGTAATCTAATAAGTACGGGACAGATCATGTCACAATGATTTTGCTTTTTATTTGCTTTTTAAAAATGTGTTGCTTTCATATGCAGTCTCAAGTTGTTAACTGGACTGTAAACAACGACTGACACACACAAGAGGAAGCCTTGGCCCAGATATCCATTATCTGTTATCCAGATATTTGCTGACTACTCTGGAAGATTGGCTGTTAAACTGTCTTCAGATTATAGCCGATTGATAAACACTCGATCTTGAAGGTGGATCACAATATTATTAATGCATGCAGAGATATGAGAGTTTTAAACTACATTAACTGATTTTTTTTGGACACTTGGTGAACATGTTAGCTATAGTTGCTTATTTACTCATCTTACAGACATGGAGCAGAATTTATTTGGAGTCTCTTTTCTGGCCACCTGGCAAATGTTAGGCCAGTGTCCTATTATGTTTTTAATCTCCACCAACTCATGAGGGAAATATCTGGCTCTTCAGCTGCTACATACTCCAGTTCTCTGTAGTGTTGTCACCATGAGCAGCTCTTTTCACATTACACACAGTCAGCTGATCCTCTAATATAAAAATTGACTGGCTTTAAGTTAAATTTATGAACAGTGATGTAAATTTCAGCTGTATCTTGTTTTGATACCTGTATCTGAAAGAGTTTTGTTTTTTTATAAGCTAACCACCGTACTGCTCAGATCAAAATGTAGCTAAAAGTCTCTTGACACTGACACACTACTGGTTTAACCAGTTAACACCTGCTGTTTTATTTGACCACATCTTAGCAAGCTAACAAGCTGGCATTAAACCAAAAGCAGGTTGTGTTGGCTCTGAAGTCCCGGGGAACATCAGGAGACAGTTGATTGTGGCAACAAACACATGTTTGGTCTCACTTGGAAAAGCAGCAAGCAAGAACAAAGGGTGCAGTCTGACACCCGCTTTCTCAGATCTCAGCATCAGTACTCTTTCTCGTCATGTGAAGGCTCATTTAAACACACCAGTACTCCTGTCCTGTCTCACGGGAGAGAAAGCAGGCTTTGGGTGATAAAAATCACGAGCATAATTTGGCTCCGGCCAGTGAGAGGTGCTGGCTAATTGAGCGATGCTGTCATCAACATCAATAGAATCGATTTGCTTTGTTGTTTCTCTGATTGATCAGGAGATAATGGGCTTATTTTGGGAGAAGTGTTGTTGGTGTGTTTCGTTTATTTGCCTGAGTGCTTGTTTTCTGATTGACTGGGGCACACTGGAGCTATTTCTGGAGAATTCACACACACAAACACACGCACACGCTCTCTGTGCAGAAGGCTATGCATGTGTGTTTGTAAATGATGAAGTTCTGTATGTTTTCAAAGAAATAAATAGCTGGTACACAGTATTCGTATGTGTGTTTGTGTGTGTCTGTGTCCCCACTCTTTTATTGATCAGTTTCTGAAGGCTTGTGAGAGAAAGACAGAGGCGTGTTTGAAGTTTGAACACTAGGAGTTTGTGGTGTTTTTATGTATCGGTTTGATAAGATCTCTTTATTTAGCTTACTTTATATTCCTAAATGGCATGTTAAATTAAATCAATGGAGCGAGAAAGTAAAGACAGAGAAAAAGAATGAGAAACACAAAAGAGACAAGCTGTACTGCTGTTTATTATTTATTATACACAACATTTGAAACATTTAAGTGGCTCTTGTGGAAAGAGGATGTGAGACTCTGGTTTAAAATCTCCTCTTAGCAGCCATAACTCTGGCTAAATGTTTCCTCCAGATCCGATTAGATTGCTGCCCTGATGGATCGTTGTGCCAACTTCCTCAAGTCTGGGACAAACAACAAAATTGAAAAAAAAAAAAAAAAAAAAAGGACTGTTTTGGGGTTTCTTTCCAGTACCAGTATTTCTGTCAGACTAACAAGCCCTTACACCAGTTTGCTTTCTCTCATTATCTCTAATTTTCTCATGTGTTCTCTTGCTGTCAAAGCATTCACGGATATTTGTTAGAAATACAGAAAAAGCACCAAACTGGACCAAACTCGTATCAATTATTTATTGTTAAACTTTTGCAGAACAAGGGGATTCAAAAGAAGCAGACAGGAAGCGGCTGCATTAGGGTGTGTCAGGGAGGGGTTAGGGTTTTGGCATAGTGTTGAAGAGGTGGGTAGTCTTGGGAGAGAGTTTCTCCTCAGCATTAAACTCAACAGTTTTTGGGCTTTTCTCAGGCTTTTATCTCACCATACTCTGATGTCAGCCTCCTGTATTTCTCCTCAGTTCTGTGTTTTTGTTGCCACTGCTGAATCAGAAGTTCTCCCTCGTCTTTTTGTCTGTCTGCTGTTACGGTTATGAGGCAGCATCCACTCTGATACGTGTGTGTATGTGTGCTTGTGTTATCCAGTGTGTGGGTGGGTGGTTGTCTGTGTGTCGTCAATACTGTGGGAACGGATCCTGCGTTATATTGATTGTACAGTGTGATGAAACCAACTCAACTCTTTCTCATGTCTCTTTCTCGTGGTACCAAGGCTGTCTAATTGGTAGGAAACACAAATAAATTCCACTCTTGTCTAACAAGTAAAGGAAATGTCCTTGTTGCACATACGTACAACCCTAATTCTTTTTTCTTTCTTTATATCTGGTTTTTACCTATTTTATTTTGCTATTTAATTTGTATTTCTTTTTTCTTATCTGCTGTGTTCTATCTGGAGCTGCTGTAACAAGTTCCCCAGTCTGGGATCAATAAAGTCTATCTTATCTGATCTTATCTTATCTGATCTTATCTTATCATGTCTGTCATAAGATGGAACCATTCATAATCCTTTCTAACCTGGGTTACATTAGATGTTTGTTCGTTTGGAAATGTTTTTTGTTTGTGATATGTAGCTTCAATCTGTTTAATAAGTATGTCTAGAATGCTGTCTAATCATGTGGGGAATATCACATTTCTATTCCCCATAGGACATGCAACATATCTTCTCCCTTCAAAATGTCTTCTTTATTATAGGAAAAGTATGTTTTTTTTAACCCAAATTGCTTTCCATCAGGAACAGAGGAATTCCCACATGGACTGACTCTCTGTACTATCTGTAACTGATGAAGAGCTTGGACTCAAAACATTCAAATGTAATAAAGACGATATTTTAAAAGGAGCAGATTACAGTGCTGCAAGTCCTTTGGGAGATAGAAATCACATTACATTTTTTTTAACTCATTAAATGGACATGAAACATGTGCATGTGTTTTTCCTTTTCTTTAGAAATGTTAGGTTTTCCTTTTACAGACTCCAGCCGCCCGTAATTATAATTTACTTGCAGACGGCGACAATACGCTACAGGAAAAGTCATGGGTTTCAGCTTAAAAGTGCAAATAAATTCCTTGTTTAGTAGCTTAAGTAAGGTTTGCCCTTAGCTATTATTTCAGTAAGTAGTATAGTCATTAAGCATTTCTATTAAGAATCAAGTATTTATCACGACACAGCAGTAGAACAGTTTATGCTTGAAAATGGCAGATGTGCGTTGTTTTGGTTAGCAGTCTGTCTGTCTTACTGTCTGTCTTTCAATCCAATTGTTTATTCTACTATTGAGCTTGAATAAACGATCGATTGATTGATTGATTGATTGATTGATTGATTGATTGATTAGTCAGTCGACAGAAAAGTAATCAGTAACTATTGATTATTAATTTTTTTCAAGCAAAAATGTAAAACATTGGTTCCAGCGTCTGTTGTGAGGAATTCTCTTTTTATGTTGTCGTGAATTAAAGCTTTGAGCTTTGGACTGTTGGTCAGACAGAACAAACCAAATGGGCATTTTTACTGTTTTTACTGCCAGATTAATCAGTAATGACTAATTATTAGTTGCTGGCCTTTTTTCATCCATCCATCCATTGTATCTGACTATCATTTTTATGTATATATCTGAACTGTATGTATACACTAAACATACTGTAGAAAAAAATGTTTTACACTTATACATTTTTGACCTTGAATGACCTCTCTGTTATCCATGTATCTATTCTTTTTAGTTGGGACTGAATCAGTTTTCTAAATTCACTTATCCTAATTCATTTACATCTCTTAACTCAGTATGGTCTGTTTTCATAAGAGGAGTCTCCTGGCTTTTTGCCTGGGCCTGGTTAATGTCCTCTGCTGTATTTTTCTCTTTGATTGTGTGTATGCCTCACATGGATGACGTCATGCT